CTTTATTGCACTTCGTCTTGCCTCTGCCTCTAATTTACTCTCTGGCCTGGGGTGGTCATGGACACCTTTAGCCTATTTAGGATTAACAAAGAATTAGATGTGAACGGGAAGGGAGTGAGACAAGAGAAAGCGCAGTAAGTAATTTAAGAGATAGCCACACACGGTTTGTAGTTTGGCACAAGAGAAGATGGAGGGAAAACTAAACAACAAGGAGGGATTCAATGTAAAAAGAAATAAATAGAATGAATCATGATTTGGAGGTAGATAGAAGGAAAAAATGAGGGAGAAGTTATTGAGGACTGCAGAGCTGATGGAGGAGCGGACGCATTACCTATGTTTGAGCCAGTCAGGAGTAGTTAATTAGAACCAAGGGGAAAAACATATACATTTAGTTTCATTGTTTTTCTGCAGTCCAGTATCTCAGTTCTGCTTTATAAATGTATATATATAAAAATTGTATACATAGGCTTTAAAGAGGTTTCGTGCCACAAGATGACAAATATTCTCTTAAAATAATACACCTTCTTGAATAGGACTGAAAATTATATCCTGGAAAACCATCCAAAGATGCTCTGCTATTGAAATACCTGTGGATATGCAGATCTATGTAACCAAAACTATACTGGTATCTGATGGAATAATGTATTCTACATGTCCTTACCCGTTACATTTGTCTGAATGCACCAACATATAGTCCCTAATACAAAGTAGGAAGCTTAAAATTGATTTTAAAACACTGTCCTTTCTCAAGCAGAAATTAAATTCTAAAGAAGGATTTATCAGCTATTTTGATGATAAAAGTCATCTGGTTTTGCATGTCTGTAACAGAACATCTGAGTAAGAATAATACAGAATATGGCCAATTTTCTTCCATTTACTGACCAGAGAACAGAATTCACTGTCTGTGGGTCAGGGAAAAAATTCATCTGGCAGAGAATGTAATCTTATGGAACAGAAACCTTATGTTACATTTTTGTTCTAATGTTGCTATAAAAAGAACAAATCAACGGGAAATTTCAGATTTTAGCTTTCTAAATTTCCTTTTCTTCCTGGCAAGATTTTAAATCCTCAAAATTGAAAGGCTAGTTTCATGTGAAGTAGAATTTTCATGTATCAACTCCTGCAGTTTAAGCTAGATTTTTTTTTTTCTATTTATTTTAGCAGGAAATAAGTATTAAGTCCTTGGAAAAATTCAGTTGTCAGATGTACTAGAGTGCAAGACAATCTTTTTGTTTGTATTTGCGTTCTGTAAACAGGAGAATTTTAGACATAAATTGTGATGTTATAGTGAAAATTGAATATTGTCAACTCTCAAGTACTGTTTTTAAAAAAACAGCCAAGTGTTATTGTTTCATTTGTTTTTGCCATACTTGCACTAAACAGAAATTCTGTCATGGACCAGAACTCTGCTGTGCTCACCATGTTCAGTGTTAAACACAAAAAAAAATATAGCGTGGGAGTAGGAAGAAATCTCTCTCCAGATATTATTTTATATACAAACAAATTTATATATATATGTGCACAAATAAATATGCCTGATTTTTACCTGGAAAAATATTGCTTTGCCATCAAGCCTCCAGAAGTTTGTGACGGGATAGCCACTGTGTCCTCGGCAAGGAATCAACTCAAGGGCTGAATTGCAGTTTGGGCAGGCTTTCTCTGTGAATAAAGACAAAGAAACTACTGAAGAGATTGGTTGAAGGCAAGGATGTTTCCTGAGAGTAAACAGAGCTCAAGAGCAGTATGATCAGACTTCACTGAAACTTCAATTAAAATATATTGTTCAAGGAAACACAACATAGACTACCAAGCATAACTGAGTGGTATGAACTAGAGCTGCATACTTGATATAGATGCTAATGATGTAAAGGATTTCAAATCCATTTTCCCTTAAGTATTTACAAATAGACATTGATTAAATTTGTAAATAAATCACAGTGTTTACAATTATGGCTTAGTCTGCCTGCAAGTAAGAGTGACTCCAGTTTAGACGTCAAGCCCAGATGAAAGAAATATGACCCCTTAGGCATCCCAGCTTTCTTTGGCTATCCCTCACTTTGTTGCTTCTGCCGAGCCTTGTCGCATATGGCGGGGCGAAGCTGCAGCCTGGCTCCGCCGGGCAGAGCACAGCTCCTGGCACACACCACCACTCCCAGGCAGGACTTCTTGAGGATCTGGCAGTTGTGGTTGTTGGTGTTGCGCATGGCCCAGCCACTGAGGTGCCTCTGCGCGTTCTTCTCCTCGCTGGAGTAGATGAGCCGCACGTAGCCATCAGGCCATTCCTGGAAGGCATCAAAGTGCTTGGGCTCCTGCAGCAGGGCAAGTGGGGTAGAGGGGCAAGGCAGCAAGGAGAAGAGCAAGAGAATATTATCAGTATATCACAACCTGATATTTTTGCCCTGTTACAAAACACACAACAGGAAACAAAAGCTTTTTCCACGACCATCCAAGCAGCAGAAAAAGAATTATTGAAAGAATAACTTATTCAGAAATGCTCTAGAAGGGAAAAGGCAGTCTGAGCTTCCATGTTTCAAGAGTCAGGATCCTTTCCTCCTTTGCACCACGATCCATAATTACATGGTCTCTTGTCACAGGTGCCTCTTTACAGTGGGGTTACCCAGCTGTAAGGCATCAGCCTGGTTACCAAAACTTACTAACTGGTCTGCCACCAGTGTGCCCAGACAGGATGCAGACCACCCTGATCATGACTGCTGTTAAGTTCTCCTTGTTGTGGGACCATGCACCTGCAGGCAGGAAACTAGAAGTTTTAGCTATGGAATGGTTTCTTAGATTGTGTCTGAGTTAAGACTTTTGCTAAGAAACAGAAATAAAAAAAAATTGCCCTTGCAACTGCAGTTCCAATATGCATAGTGGCTCAAAGAAAGAACATTTCAATTTTGGATTTCACTGGCTTTCTGGAGCTCCTTACTAAAATGTAATTACTAGAACAATGAAAGAACAACTGAGATTGTAAACTGTAAATATTTACAGTGCAAGTAAAGAGTTCCTGCAATGCTTATTTAACATATATATGTACCACATGTGAGCAATTCCAATGAAAGCAATAAACTACCAGCATTTACAGTATTAAGACATTCTATAATAGCATAGACTATTAAATTAAATAAACTTGAAGCAGAAAAAAGTTGTAAGTTAGCACATTTAAAGCTCGCAAGTAGACAGAAATTGGAGTGCGTGGTAGCATTAAAGTATCACATCAACAAATGAAGGAAATACTTAGATAAGTTAGATTAGAGTAGTAAAAACCAGTTAATTCAAACTTCTAGTCAACATTTCTTGAGAAATGTTGAGAAGGAAAGGAGAAGGAAACTGGCCAAACTAAGCCACAGATTATATTAGGTCTTCGAACACAGCTGGCCAAAGCTGTGTATTGAGTCCATATTTTTACTGCCAGTCATTTCATAAGGACTGGGGAAAAAAAAGTGAAAAGGTGCAGGAAAAATAAGGCAGACATAAACCGAAGTTTTTCTCCAACCGAAGGTTGCTCCCCTGTTTCCCTAGTAGCCCAGCTCCTCCTCTGTCACCCTTCCACCCACCCACCCGTTACCTGCGGCAATTTGGGGTCGTTGATGTCCCAGGTCTGCTTCATGGCGAGAAGCAGCAATGGGCGATGACTCCCGCTTTTTTATACCGTCGGGGCGTCGCCCAGTTGGAGGGGAGTTCTCAGCCGGCTCCGCCGGTGGAGCAGCAGCACAACCGCGGCACCTGGGCGGGCGGGCAGGCAGGGGCTGTGCTCCCCGTCCGCCACGCAGGCGGGTTTCGCTACCCTTACCTGGAGGTGTGTGACGGGGGATAGCCGTGGGAGTTTGGCGCGAATCCACCCCCTGGCACCGGGGGCCGTGACCTCGGCAAATTTGAGCAGGGTCTGGAAGTCTAACCCGGCGGTGGCGGGGCTTTGCCGCTCGCTCCCACAGGTGCTGGGATGGGAGAGGTTATGGGGAGATGGGGACCCCTCTCCGTCTGGCCGGGACGCCCCTGATGTTGGATTTCGAGCGCGGCTCGGAGCTGCCTGCAGCTTGAAAAGCCTCCGAGAGGGAGGAAAAGGCGCTGAATAACCTGCTCTTTAGATGTAGATGTAAACGAATTCAACATTGTTTGGGAGGTTTCCCCTTCGCGCCGTGCTCTGTAACACCCAGTTTAAAATGCAAAGCTAGTGCCGGTGTTATCAGCACGTTTTAACTTATTAAAAATTTATAAGCTTTTTATTACCTTTTCTTTTTGGAAGAAATAGCCGATGGGTTGCGGTGTTTGTGTTTGTTTTGTTGGTTTTGCGTTTTTGTTTTTTTGTTTTGTTTTGTTTTTTTTTTTTGGTTTGGTGTTTTTTTTGTATGTTTGTTTGGTTTGGTTTGGGTTTTTTCTAGGGGGGGCAGGGGTTTCAGGGGGTGGAGGGAGGCTGATTTTTGGTCTGAGAAACAGAAAGAAAAAGACTTATGCACAATAGCATAGAGACAATAGCAAGCCGTTGAACGCCAAGCGCTGCTATCATCCTTTAAACGATCCCACCTGTTCGGAATGATTTTCTCATTCGCTTCCGTCCCCTCTGGTCCAAAATTTACTGGCCTTTACCCTTAACCGTCCACAATAAGCCCCAGCCGGTAGCAGCAGATGCCGGCAGTGGCACCCCTCGGCAGAGAGCAACCCCCCTGAGGTTCCTCGCTCCCCTTTGCACCCTTCGGATCGACCGGGGCGTCTGTCAGTGCTGCAAAGCCGATCCCCGGGTGCGGGAGACCCATCCCAGATTCTGCACACCTGCGGCTTTTTAGTGCGAGTGCAAGAGTGGCATTTTTCCCCCCTTTCCCCCTCCCTCCCCCCCCAGTGCTGGGTTCTGGCGGGGGAAGAAGAGCTCTCGAAGCCGCGGAAAACGCTGGCGAGGCTCTCTCTCCACCCTAAACGCAGGTGTATCCGATAGCAGCTAGTTACGGTCGTGCGAGGGCCGTGGGGAGGGTGCGAAGCAGCCCCTGTACCTTCTCCCGTGCGCCATGGCCCAGGTAAGCGCCGCTCCCGGCACAGGAGAACCAGGGGATGGCTGGAGGGGAGCGGGCACGGAGGGACGGACGGACACACCGCGGTGCCCGCGGGGCTCCCCTGCGGCTTCCAGAAACCTTCCGTTTGGACGCGTGGGGTGGTTTTCCAACTCGGAAACTAAGTAAGGAAAATCAGTCTTTTGGGAGAGAGGGGTTGAGTAAGTGGACTTCAGCTTTTGGACAGAATAAGTGTTTGGTTTTGGGGTGTTTTTGTAGGAGAGGATTTTTTTCCTGTATTTTTCTCTTCTTTTTAAAGGAAGAAAAAAGTGAAGAACGGAATAGAGATGTGAGTGGCAATATGGCAGGCAGAGCAGAAGACTATGTAAGGATCCTTTAAATGTATCCTTAGCTTTATCTTACAAATAGTTATATATGTATGTTTAAAGGTGCATTTCTTAAATGGATATGGCATGACCTAGAATTTTTATTAATTTAATATGGGAAGTGCAGCAGACTCCTTAGTCTTTTCCCTAGTAAGTGGGAAGAAGTTATTGTAAGAGTTTTGAGACATGTAAGAATTACAAACTGGGCACACCAAAGGAATGTCTTATTCAGTATCTTTTAAGATTATTCAGTTACAAGGGTTCTGTCTCTTTTGGAGGTTGACTGATGTTTCACCTTCAGATGTAACAATAAAATAAAAGTAGAGAAACAAATAAAGTTAAACAAGTAAACAAAAAGCCTGCAACTTTTAAAATAGCGTTACAAGTATTTTCTCATGATTAGTGCTGCAACAATTTTAATACCCATTTATTTAACTCACTAATTGTTTCCTTCCCTTCCCTCTGCAGCTTGAATCACTTCTCACTGATGCCTTTAAGGGGAAAGGATTTGAAAAAATAAGCGAACTGCTTAAAGAGAGAGAAGTAGAGCCTCCCCAGAAATACAGTGAATCTCTTTTTAGCCAGCTAGACAAAGCACTGAGAAAGGCAAGTATAATAAATAATCTCAACCATCCAAACACCCAAGGGTATCAGACTAATGATGCACAGCACCCTGTGTTTCTGTAGGAGCTGGACAAGAATGAATTCCAGAATGTTTCACTGCTGCTGAAATGTATTCAGGTCTACTTTAAAAGTGATTTCCAAGAAGGGAAGAGTTTGTTTATTGAGCAAGGACTGGTAGCAAAGATGAGTATAACATTATATGCAAGTTACTAATGTGGTTTAAAGTTGCTTGCATCAGAAAAAGAACTCCAAGGAAGTGAAAACTAGAGAATGGCTTGTTGGCCATCCAGAAACATATATTTTAAAAATATATTGCATGAGCTCAATGGGGAAAAAAATACTTACTGTCTTTCATTGCTTTCGGTGCAACAGCCAATATTATGGTTTCACTTATTACCTGACTTAATGGATTGTGGGTTTGGGGGGTTTTTTTCAGCTGACAGTGGAAGGAGAGGCAGAGTTTTGATGAGTCCCACTTGTGAAATGATGTAAAATTTCTAAATGCATTTTAAATACTCCAGCAAAATACATTATTAGTTATAGAACTGATGAGCAGTTTGTGCTTTTATAATTTTAAGACCTGACATACTCTTTATGAAGATCCCTTTTTAGATGTGTAGCAAACTAGATGCATTTAATCTGCAGTTGCATTTTATCTTCTGGCAGAATGGCACAATACTGATTTCAGCTGGTAACACTTGTAGTAGCAGAAATGCACTTGTGCTGAAGATGAATAATACCTGGATCTAGCATAGCTAGCAGGGAACAGTTAACACATGCTCTCCATTTCCAGAGTTCTACCAAGGAGTTCTCAGTTCAAAATATTGTAATCCTGCCTTGTAATTATGCTTTTCAGGGATACAGTTACTCAAAATTCCTGTATGGAGACACGTTAATGAAGTTTCCCTGATCTGAGCTCTGTACCTCCAGTGAAGCATAGATTTCTGTTTTGCCACGTGTGGCTATGCAATATATTTAAAACCATGAAGTATTAAAATATTTACATTGAAAAAGCTTGAAAAAATTTTAAAACATTATTTTGCTGTGAATTGATGTTCTGTAGAAATTTCTATAGGAGTTACCATGCCATTAGTAGCATGCATTGTGCCTAAACAACACGAGTGTGTGCCTTGGACAACAAAGGAGGATAAAAGGAGGGTTGGGGAGGGAAGAGGGGAATGTCACTTTTCATGTCCTCCTAGCAAAATTTGAGCTCCTTAACACCATGTAGCTTTTGACACAGTATGTAACTCAAGTTTTAAAAGTAAAAAACTGTCTGTAAAGTTTCCTGCAGACATATATAGTTTAAGGATTATTAACTCCTCTTCCCAGATTTTAACCAATTCTTTTAACTTTTACCTGGTATCTTGGTTTGAAAGAGCAAGAGCATCTGTGATCCTCATCGACCCAAATGAGAATAAATTTTTTGAAGACTTCTTTGACACTGCATTGGTATGTATGTGCCTTAAGGGAACAGAAGGGTTGCCCATATTGGATAGGAAAGCCATTGTTCGCAAACAATTTCCAGTTAAAAAATGAATAGTTGCATGGACCTGGGAGTGAGCCTGGGATGCAGTCCAGATGGTGCCGGTGGGGAGTGCCCAGGAATGTGCTCTGGGCTGGCATCAGGCTGAGATTTGACACAACCTGGGAGAAGCTGCTAAAGGGCTGCAGTGTTTTCTGATTTTCTAACACGAAGCCAAGTGTTTGTTTTTGCAGAAAAATTTTCAAGAAGTTCTGATGCATTTTGTAAATAAAGGCTTTTGTGCTGAAGCTCTCTTTAAAAACCACAAGTCAGTAATATTAAGCTGCACTTTACTTGCAAATGTGTTTTACCCAAGCTGTTCCTCCAAGTCTTGTTGTCTGTAGCTTACTGGAACTGTGTCACTTTTGTGACACAGTTTGTGCATCAGAATTCATATCAATACTTATGACTCTTTTTAGGAGTTCTGATAAAAGATATTTAAGCTGAATCAAAGTTCCTTCTTTCTCTACTAACCACACCGACGTACCCGATTTTTTTTTTTTTTTTTCCAAAATTTGATCTATTTGTCTTCCCAGTACATTTCTTCCACATGCTTTCGTTGTGGAGAATGAAGTGTTTTGTTCTATGGGGATTTGGGGTTGGTTGTTTGCTGTTTGGAGGTTTTTTAACTTTTATTTTTATTTTTCCTCAAGGGACTTCAACACCTTCAAATATACATTGTGACATATAGTACTGTAGTGTGGAAGCATAAAATGTGCTTGTACATAAGCCCATAGGTGTAATAAAATAAGAGAAGAATGCTACGATGTGGCTTTTCCAGGGAACCTATGGGCACTGCACTCTCAAGTGCTGCTGAAATCCCTGGGGAAAGTGGGTGCTTTGCTATCTTTACCCTCCCTGCATAATGCAAACCTGTAAGATTAGGGTCATCATATGTGACATGCCTGTGTCAGGTGGTCCTGCTTTTCCTGATGTGGGTACACTAGTGTTTTATGTTATTTAACCCTTGAGAGCTGGGGGGGGGGGGCATAAACACCTTGGCACTTTGAGTACTGCTGTTCTTAGGTGATGGTGTGTTAACGAAGGCTTCCTTTACTGTTTCCATCAGGTGATTTGCAAATGCAGCAATGAAGGTCAGTATTTTTTTCCTCCCATGCCTTGATATCCTGTATCTTAGTCTCAGGAACATGTTTCTTAATTCTGCTTGAACTCTGTCCCCTTTCTCTTCTCCCTTCCACTTCCTATCTCTCTGCAATATTTTTTTTCTTTTAATCCTCCTTCTGATTTCTCTTCAGTTAATTTTCATTAACATTCACATCAGAGCACAAAACCTTTTTCCATTTCTATTTGCTTCCTTGTTTTGTACAAGTCAAAAAAAAAAAAAAAAGATCCATCTGTGGTATCTTGCTTAAATGCTCAGCATCAAATAATTCACTTGATCAGAGTAAGTGGTGCTTCTGAAAGGGGTTCAGGCTAGAGGATCTATTCTCACCACATCTGTTTGTACTGGCTTGAGAAGTTCTTTCCTTGCTGAAGGCAACCACCTCCACAGAAAACCATGGTAACTCCTTCAGCTTTCTGAACTAGGCAGAGGGATGTCTGCCTGTCTCTCATTCATTTCAGCAGCAAAATTTTGTCTGTGGCTGCAGCTGGTTTTCTGTTAGGGCAGGGGAGCAGGTGCTTTCAGAAAGTATCTGTATGCCCAAACGTCCAGTCTCACAAGTCATGTAAAAATAAAGCATTACACTGTGGACCAGGTAATGTGTGCTTATTTGTCCTTGTGGCTTATTTTAGTGGGAGCAGAGTACGTGTGAGCATCTTCTGGTTAGTACTTTACTGTTTTACTCTGATTTTGACAATAATTCTAATTTTCTCTTGTGGTTAGGCCTCTTAAAATAATTACCCAGGTCAGCAGTTAATGTATCTGCAGCTTTATTTTTTTTTTTTTTTTTACATAGAAGTTACCAGTTCCCTTTCTGTCTAGGATTAGATGGTTAGAAGCTTTGTTTTAAAATGAACTTACAAGTGGGATATTTTTACTCCAACACAGCAAACTGTAGTTGCTTCTGCTGTCTTTTATATGGAGACCAGCCCATTTCTAGCTGTAACCTTTCAAAATATTTTTCTAGGGAAGAAAGATCTGCTGAATTTATTTTTACCTGAGCTAGGGCATCTAGTGACAGAAGCAAATCTTTGCTTCACTCTGCATCTGGAGGTAAGATTCCTACTAAGAGGAGAAAATTAGATACATTTGTGCACAAGTGTGTGTAATTAGAAAATATGGGAAAAATGAATAATACTGAATTATTTCCCTTCATTTTCTGCCCCTTCTTTTGCGGGGGGAAAGGCTTTGAGGACCCTTAACTCTATACTCGACAATGTCACACGGGAAGAGAGAAAGCAATTCCCTCTGTCTGAGGAAATGTGCTCGCTCACGTAAGTGATTTTCCTCCTAACTCCTGTAGCTAAATGCCATCTTCCCTCCAATAGGAGTTAGTTATTTTCACTTTTAACTTGTGGTATTATGTTGTTTCAGGAAAGACCTTGCCAAAACTATTCTGGAGGTTGGTGGTAAGAAATATTTAGTGGTTATTCTTATTAATTTCTCCAGCTTTACCTTATATGTTTATTTATTGTAGGTGAATTGTAATTTAAATTATTTACTTGTCAAGAGTTGACTTTTAGGGAGGAAAATCACATAGTACTTTGAGAAAATATTAATAAAAAATTGGTAAATGCAGCAATGCCTTAGTTTTTCCTGGTTGGTATTAGTGGTGTGTATTAACCAATGAGACAAGCTAAACAGATGTATGTAGAAAAGTAATTAGATCAGCTTTACATACATGTTTACAAAATACGCTGGCTGTTAGTCTTAAAAAAAATAAATTTTAATTGCTTTGCCCAGGTGTGGACAAACTTCAGTTAACAAGGTTTATAGCCTCTTGAGTGAAGTCTTTTTCATTTTCTCCTAATAATAACACTTTCTAGCGTTTTGCCATGATATATGGGATGTAACTTAATCCTAGTGAGTTAGTGATAAGTCTTTGCTCTCATCCCCTTCCTGAACCCCAAGAAAATTTCCCAGTGCACTTGTGTGTTGTTGTGGTTTGCAGCACTCCATACTTGACCTCACTGAGTCAGGGGGAGCTGAGGATGCCTGGAGCTAACACTTGGCTGTTAGCCTCCACAGTTCTCTGGGTAGAACCAAAGCTAGATGATGAATATGACTGTGTGGTATGTAAGTACAAGAGTGGCAATGCTATAACACTCTTTTATGCCAGAGGGATGATATTTATCCTGTGCTTATGTTTATTGTGTAGATTATGACCTCCAGGTTGCCCTTTCAGAAGCACTTTGTAGGTTAATGATAAAAAAATGGAGAGATGACCTTGTTCACCACTGGTTTGAAGATAACTATCTTGCTGAAGCTTTCAAAGAGATCAAGGACAGAGAATTTGAGACGGTGAGGGTCCTTATTTTGAAAACAACATACTTGACAAGTCTGTATAGGGGCTAGTTTTGGTTGAGTTCAGTCAGGATGTCCTTGTAAGAAGTTCCTACAAAACTGACTTTATAAATACACAAAGTTACTTAGTTATTGAATTATTTGTGGATGGTGTGTTTTGGTTTTTTTCTATAATGACACATTGTTAAAATAGCTCTTCTAAGTTATTTTACTTACAAAAAAGTAAAATGAAAATTATAATAAATAATAAAACATAAATAAGTTTATGTTTGAAGACTTACTGGTAGTAAATTGGGTCCAACCATTTGTAGCAACTTGAGTGTTTCTTCCTCAGGGGCCTTTGGCATCACACTGACTAGTTAAAAGCTTCTAACTGGAGTAGGAGTCACACAGCCCGATAGAATAAGTATTTGCAAAGGAAATGCAGCCTGACTTTTTAATAATATGTCATTTGTCTTGAAGGACTGCAGAAAATTTCTTAACCTGCTGAATGAAAGGCTTGGGAATGAAAGAAGGTAAGCTGGGGACCAACAGAATAAACTGGTGCCCTCACTACTGCAGAGGGGAATAAACAGGATTGTAATTTGAGTTGGGTGATATTAATAAGAAAAAAAAAGGATTTACGTCACATGTGAAGAATTAAATTGTTCTTAAGAAGGAAATTTTATTCATTTTTATGGTGGTTTTTTGAAAGTAAAATCAATGAAGATAATGCATCACTACTAAAATACTATGGCCTCTTAAGCTTCTCCAATATTAATTTACTTTTAGAAATATTTTAATTATTTCTTGAACAATAAGATTGGTTATACTAATCTTATGAAAAATAAGATGATTTAAGTCAGGCTCTGATGCTGAATGTATCATGTGAAGTCTGCTTTTCTTCCAGAGTGTATTCTTTTCCATGCATATCTGCTTTTGCTGACACGAAGGAGGTAATAGCCCCTAAAGCTCTGACACGTTCCCTACACTGTTACTACTGCTGAAATGTTGATTTTTGTGGTAATTGTTTTTTCCCCTCCCTCTTTTTCATTGAAGAGCTCAATTTCTTAAAATGTAGAGTATAACCTTCTATACTGGTTGGAAAGTTTGCTTGTTTGTCACTTAGCTCCCAATTTACAGCTGCTGACTTTGCTTTTGTATCAGCCAAAAGATAGAGGCAGCGCTTCTCTTCATGGTGATGACAGAAGGGAGAGCTCTAAAAAGGAACAGGAGGACAGGACAATGTTGATTCCTCCAGCAGAGCTGTTCTCAGAGTGCCGGAAAACAAGATTAGCCTGATGCCCATGTAGGAGAAGTCAGAGTTGCTGATCCTGCAGATTGCTTTAGTGGTCTTTAGTACGTGTACTGTGGCACCGTTCCTGGCAGTCATATCGAATCAACAGCATGTAAATGGAAGCCAGTTCCACTGTTTCTGATTATTTCAACTGCTCAGAAACAGAAACAACTCCTATACCCTCTTCCTGGCACAAACATGTGGGTGTTTGTGTGTTGCCTTTCCCTTGGCTGATACAGAGCTGTGTCTGACATGGGTATGGTTGGGTGAGCAGTAGACTGGCAGCTCGCAGGTTGATCTGAACTTTTATTTCTGCAAGATGTGCACATGTGTACACAGTTATGTAAGGCAACACTTTCCAATTTTGTCTTGTTAAAGAAAACTGAGAGTGATACAGCAGTTGTGGGGCGTTTCTGGGAGCAACAGTACCACTCTTCTTCCCCAGGTGAAGAAACCATCAGATGAAAAACTGGAGGAGTTTTGGATTGACTTCAACACTGGCAGCCAGAGTGTGACTTTCTATGTGGATAGTAACGAGGTAATGGTAACAGCAAGGCCCAGGTGGCTTTGGGCTCAGCCTAAGGCTGTAGGCACTCACTTAGCCCTTCTAACATTTTGGCTTTGGTTTTCAAAGGGCTTTCTTTGGGACTCTGTGAGGCTGTCAAAAGAAGCTGTCAGCAGTTACAGGCTGGAGGGTAAGATTTCCAACTGATGTTGTCTTCTCTCTGGCTATGGGTTCGTGAGACAGATGGAGTCAGCCTAAAATCTCAGCACCACCGTGTCTTCTCCTCCCTCCTTGCCTTTGATAGTCATCTTGCACTAGCTCTGCTTGTTGGACTGTGTGTGGGCCCACTGAGCACAATAACTTACTCTCCCCTACCCAAGCAGGACAGGTTAAGGTATCAGTTTATAGATGTCCTAGGGAACAGCATAATCATCAAGATCATCAGTGGGAAAGAAATGAGTGAACAGAGTAACTGGAAATGCATAGGCAAGATGTAAAAGAGACTTGTCTAAAAATTCCAGACACTTATTCAGTTATTTTGTGGTCGAGAGAAGTATGTCTTGATCTAAACCAGATTTAATTGCCTTTATTTTTTTTTTTTCTCAGAGGATGGTGGACAAAAGATTGTTAAAATTCTTATGAAGAAACCTGCTGCTCTTACCAAAACAGAAGCAACAAAAATCAAACTGATTTTCAATGCTGAGTTTGAAATCTTAGGTGTACTTAAAAAAGTCCTGGGTGATGAAAAATTTGTGGTAAGCTCTTAATATGAGGGTTGGGATTTTTTTCTAAACTAGATTTTGCACTGGGCAAAACTATTCAGATTTCTGGGGTTTATGTTTGTGTGATATCTTTGTTTATTTTTTCCATACCTCTTTATTACATATCTGTCTTCCTATTGTGGATTTATAACACTCTGTATAGATGCTCTTAGCTTTGGCCTGCAAGAGAAACTAGGTATCTTAGTAATGAAGTTTCAAAGGACTCAAAGTTATGGTTTAGAATCTGGAAGGTTAAAGTGATCTGTTAATGGATTTCATGTGTTATTACTTTTGCTGAGCTTCTACAGTAGAAAATAAAGCCTACGGCATTTAATTGTGTAACTTGAAGTCTAAACATGCTCTTACATATAGCTCCAAGTGTTACATTGCACAGGATGAGCAAATTGTTACATAAGAACCTGGAAAAGAGAATAGGTGTGCTGCAAGATGCAAATCTTAGATTGACTTTGTAGCTAGTACTTCTAGATGAAGAGTAGAGTACTTCTAAAACTTAAAGTTTTTTTTCTAAGCCAATGTAAAAACATGGGTGATGTGTGTGACTTTTTTTTCCTCAAATGTTAATACAGTTAATTTTTTACTCGTAATTGATCCACAGACTATGGAGATTGCAGAAAACCTTTGGCAACAGTAAATAACCATGATATGGGGGCTGTCATTTGCCCTTGCAGGAGCCAAGACCTTTCCAAATTATCAACACAATTAGCATCCAATTATTTGTTGCTGGCAATTACCAACTGTTAATTTTGTTATTAAGTAGTTGACTTTACTAGATAAAGACTACTTTTTTAAGATCACTTTCACATGACATTAATTCATACCAGCAGATAAATGAGACTGAAGAGAAGTCTGTCCATGCTGGGAAGCAAACCAGGGAGAATGAAACAGGTGATTTTTTTTTTTTTTATTATCATGTTATTTCATTAAATTTAAATATCTCAATTTTCAAATTATTGTTTTCACTTGCAGTCCACAGCTTGCAGTTAACCTCATTTAAAAAACAAACAAACAAACAAAAACCAACACCCCCCCAAAAAAAAACCCCCAAACCCAAAACAAGCAATGCCCAAGCTCAATCTCCTGCTGTTCCTTGTCTTGTGAGCTTAGTAACTGGTGCTCGTGGCAGATGCTGAGTCCCTCTAGCCCAGGGAGTGAGGACTGGGCACCATGGGCCATGTGCTGCTGGTATTGCACGGGCAGGGGAACTGCTCAGTGATACAGGACCTGGATTTGGATCTGGCAGGCAGCCTTGCAAGGCACATCTTGGCTGCTGGCTGCCCACTGATGTGCAAAGAGTGTGTAGTAGTGTTTTTCCATCTGCAAGTGCAGTGGAATGCATCCTTCTGTCCACCTCTCTTGCTTGCTCAATGCCTGGTTCCTGGTTTGGCTATGCTGTGTAGGTGCCTTTGGAAGTTTGCCTGCAGAAGGGGACAGTGGCATTGGTGTGGCCATGAAAGCACAGGTTCTCTGATGGATGAGTTCTTGCACCTTGGCATTTAACAAGCTCTCCCCTGTACAGTGAGGTGCATGTGGTGAGGCAGCCTCTACCAAACCTTTCTGCAGGGGAGTGGCTTCTGTTTCTTCTAGACAAGGTGATGTGCTAGAAAGTGGTGTGCTCCAGTCCCTTTACCCCACCTGGAGTGGATGATGCCCTGGAGATGCCTGGTGCTGTTGTGGAAGAGCAGCAGGGGGAGCAGAAATGCTCACCTGTAGTCCCTGTTTGTAGGTAAAGATGAGCAGCAGTTCATCTCTGCAGAAGATGCCCTGCTGCTGTGTGAAGTGGCATTGTCAGTGCTGCCATGAATACCTTGTGCTGTAGGGCTGTCTTTGTGTGTGCTCCAGCTACAAGTGTATCTGTGTGCCTTACAGAAACAAAGGCTCTTAGCTGGACCAGGAATAGCCATTAGTTGCTTATTCTCATCAACCTATAGCCAATGCTTTGTATTTCTTTGAATTGGGCACGTTAGGTTTTACATCATCAAATGGTGTCATTGCCTGTGCTACCAGTGAACATCTGCAAGATGTCTTCTTCCGGGATCATTTGGCTGAGTTTAATTATGTTCCAAATATTATAGATGTCAAGGGAGCTCAGAGCCTGAAGTACAGATGTCATGTTTGGGTGTCTGACCCAAAGGAGGGTCTATAAGGCCTGTACTTGTACAAGAACAAGAGAAAGTAACTCCTTTCTTTCCTTTTATCCCCCTCTGAAATTCTTCTGAAAATCCCCACCACGGCTGTGACCCACAGTTTAAGGAAAAGCTACTTTCAGCAAAAAAGGCAAGAGATGTGCATGATCAAAATCGGTTTGAAACAGGAAATGTTTTCTCAGACTAATATTGGTATCAAATTATTTGGAAGGTGGCGCTTTTTATTTTTTCCCTATAGTGATCTTTTATCTTTGAAGACTGGGACTTGTTCTTGCTGCAATACTGGCTGTATTTCAGGTTTTAGAGTGATTACTTTTTGTGTGGATCACTCCGTGGTGTAAATTGCTTGACAGATATTTCCACATCTCCTAAAGCTGTGAACTTACAGCTCTTTCTACTGCTACCACCCACTGTCTCAGAATCAAATCAAGTTTGAAGAGCTCTTAGGATAGTTAGCATTGTTTCTGTGACAATATTAAAAACAAATTTTTACTTTCATCTAAGTTGTTGTGCATTTAGGGTTTTTCCAAGTGAATACTTGAAAGAGCTACTTCCAGCTCTAAATATCTGAGGCCCTAACTTCTTCAGCAGTCCTTCCCATTTTCCTCCAGTTACAACCTAAAATGAGCTAGAATGGTAGTCCTCCAGATTCTGGAGACACAGGTGAGCTAGGAGTTCCTTCATCAGTGTCCACTGTAATGCACGCAGAGGTACAAGGTGGGCACTGCTACTTGAAACAATCAAGGAGTACAAAGGGCAGAAGGTAGTTAATCAGTAGTGAAACATTTTGCAGTGCCTGGGAGAGATTCAATGAAGGGCAACAGAGATGGTGGAAGATCCCACTGCTTTAGTCAGACACAAATGGTTGTTCCATCTCTTCCAGAGCTTAGGAGTTAAGGTAGCGATAAGATTATAAACTTCAATGTATTTATACAGTATGAGGGGCTTACATGGGGAAGGTTCAAGATACTGTTTTTTTATCATTGCAATTCTGCACTGGGTAATTTGGAGATTTTTTTTTTGTTCTATTAAACATGATCTTGAGATGTTTGTGCTTAGTAAGTTGTACTGTTACAACTTACGCATGAGTGTAATAATGGAAAAGGCAGGTAGTGAGTGTGTTCAGTTACTGCAATAGCATTCTCACACTGGTTGCTGTTCTGCAGTGATAGCTGAGTCTTCTAATGCACAAAGGAGGAAAGATCCCTCAAATTCTGAAAACATGGAGACTTTATCAGACAACTTAACCTCTGAGAAGAGCCAGCAGTTAACACACACAGTAGCAGTAAGTGTTTGGTGTATGGTGGAATGGTCCTTGTGCCCCTTTTCCCCCTTCTCCAGTCTGCTTTTTTATAGGTGGGGCTAAAACCTTCTTTCAAAGAAAACTGGTTTGTATCCAGTCAGCCCAAACATATGCCTCCAGAGCTGCAATTTTGGCAAAACTGCTTTAAAAAGAAAAAAAAGAAATTTTACTTCCTCTTGTAAGGGGATGGTGGGATGCCCTTAGTGAGAAACCTATGATATCACTTATGTGCAGCCTAAAATGTTTTTATGTGTGGACAATGATGAACGTGTCATCCAGCTGTTGTCACAGACTGGCGCTGAAAATCTGTTTCTAAAAATCCCCACTTTTTTAATTGATCATATGTATGTTCTGTTCATGGTTTCATGTCTCCGAGTAGAAAATGGTGAACTCTGGTGTTGCCGTGGTTACAGTGAGCCAGCAAACTGACCTGGAAGATGCTAACCAAGGCTCAGGTCAGGCTTCAGTTCCTAAAGTCTGATCCAGTTCAGTGTCACCCAGATGACATGTTGAAGCATCTGCTTTTGTGGGCCTTACAGCAAAAGCAGATAAAGATTTCATAGTAGTGCAGAGGCTAAAGCTATAGTTTCTTTGCCTTCTTCAGCAAAAAAGTCCAAAACTCCATCTCCAGGAATGAAAGCTAAGCCTAGGTGAGTGTCTTGCAGACGAAAAGTTGCAAAGGGGTTTTATGCGTGTGGGGTTTGGTTTTTTGTTCCCTTCTCCTGGGGTTTTATTGCATATGATTTTGAGGCTTATTCCATCACTTATTAAATTAGAAAAAGATTCTGTTTTTCAGCCTGGATAGTAAGGCTGGATGCCTAGAGTTACAGCACTTTGGAGATGCTGAACAGTGATGCTGAGTTACTAGTTTGGCAGCTGCTTTGGTGTCACTTTTTTCTCATCACAGATTTAATCCAAATGCAAGGTGATCACCCAGCTAACTTAAGAGTTTAACTTCAGCTATGTGTGTAGCTTTTGCTATTAACTGCAGCTCAGCAAATATGAGGCTATTCATAATGGGGAACATGACTTTTGTGAAAGATCATGTGAATTTGAATTCTCCTTGGCATCAGTAACACCTTTTTTTCCAGGGCTTTGGAGGACAGAATTCCTTGTAATTAAGGAGCTGGACTTCTGTAGAGTTACTGACTGACTTTCTTCCTTACACACCTAAACCGTTGCTTTGATGCTAATTGGTGCAAGTTTTTTTTCCCCTTAGTACTTCACAGACTTTTTGGTCTTTAAATGAACAGCTCCCTCATGTGTCCTCTTGTCCCCAGTGAGAAGCCCCTAGAAGAAGAATCCAGGGAGGAGGAAACATCAAAGGTATGTTTGCCTTGGGGCTCACCTGAGTGAAGAGATATGGGGCAGGGAAGAGATGTTCTGGTGGAGTTGCAGAAGAAAGCTGGGATGGGTTGACCCACTGATGCCATTGAGCAGTGTACTGAGTCCATGCAGTGTCATACCTGATGTGATGTGCCGTTTAGCACCAGGAGTGAACTGCAGAGGCAACAGCTACCAGCCTCAGTCTAGAGTGGCCCAACCAGTTAATTCGAGCTCACTGGAGTGTATTCAGCACATATGCCCACCCCACAGCAGTGTGTTGTGCTTGTGTCTAGGAGTACAGTGGTGTGTGGGCATCCAGACCGACTGTGTGTGGGACAAACTCACATGTCACAAGACTTGCACGCTGTCTGCAAGAGCAAATGTTTGCTTGCTGAATGGAACCAAGCCTTGGAAGTCTACAGACATGTTTATTCACTTTTGTCTGAGCTCTAATGACCCTCCCATGACAGGTCTAGTGCTAGTTTTAGATTTTTAAATAAAATTAATAATTTTTTTAACTGCCGGTTCAAATGCTTTGTAACACTTGCCCACTCTGCAGTGAATTCAAAGCTTTTGAACTACTTTTTGTAACCTCACCCTATTGGCCCCCCCAACTGTGGGAGTTAGTATACTCTTTGATAGGGAAGAACTGCAGGCAACAGTTGCACCTGGATAGTAGTTGCAGTAGGAGGAAGGAAGTTTCCTGGCACACCTTATCTCTGCTTTTAGCAGGCTCTTGGATAAAAATATGACTTTGGGTATTGTCGTTTTAGCTCCTGGAACTCCCTCTTTTTCCAAAGGATGTTGCCTGGGAAAAGAGAAACAGGAAAAGAAGTTTGGCCAAGCAAAGGGCTGAAGACAGGTATGAGCCCATGCAGAGACTGATGTACCAGGTGACTTCAGACCATTTCTAGTCCTCATGGGTGGGGGTGTCCCCATGGGGTGGGCTGTCTGAACAGAACAGGTAGCAAAACAAGCAGGAGGCTATGAAGGGTCACAACTTGTCTCAATAGGACCCTTTGGGTCCCCAAAGTGATGAACACTTCAGAAACTAACCCTACTCTGCCAAAAATGCCCTCTACCTCTGTGATACTATGTCACATTGGCTTTTCCATTTTTCCTTACCCAAATATAATCCTCCCATCCTCCAGTGAGTAGAGTTATGAGTGTCAGCCTCTTTCACAAATACATGAGCTTTCTTGGATATTGTTCCAATATCCAGCATCATGTGTGCTAGAGTTCCAGGACAGTCTTTCTCTGTTTGTCTCCTCACATCCAAAGCTAGTAGCAGTGTGAGCAGAAGCACTCGAGGGTCTGGGGCCACTGCAATCTGTGGCACTGAAAGTCTGACACGTGCCTTACTCCTCCTGTGGTCTCTGCCAAGTGTTGTGTTCGAGTTAATGCCTTCTGCTGGGTGGAAGAGGAAATGAACTGTATGTGAGGATCTCTGCTGCTGTTCTGGAGCTTCCTTGAGGCTTCCTGCTTCGGCCTACTGACTCTTAGCTCAAAAAAACCCCACGCGGGCTTAGATGAATTTTTTGATTGATTGTACATAAGAATAGGAAAACTTGATGCAGAACTTCATCAGGACTGCAAGTTGTGTGTTTTAAGACCAAATAATTTGGTGCCACAAATACCGGTTTTAAAACAGGAGTAGCATTGTAGAAGTTAGAGGTGAAGAACTACTTAGTTCGGTCATTCTGCTCCCTCTAGTGTTTCGTCTGGAAATGAGCGTGTCCTTCCCTCAGGAGGGGAGGCTTTAACGAGGAGCTCAGTTCTTTGGTTTTCCCGTTCTTTCACTAATAAAGAGAGAGTGTACTGTTTGCTGAGCAATAGTTCTAGGATTTTTTTAAGTAGTTACAATTTGGAGAAGGCAATAAAGGTACAGTTAAGTTTAAATGTTGAAAGACATGAAACCAAAATCTAGATGTACACAGAGAAGTAATTAGAGAACAAACATCGAATATTGGAATTTTCAAAAGGCAATTACATGGATTTTTAAAAAAATGCCTCAGATATTATATTTCCATTACTTATTTCTTCCTACCGTGTACTCTTATTGGTGATGTGGGGAGAAAATGTCCAATATGTAAACAGGGATAGACTAATTTGTATCTTTTGAACATTTCTCTTAAAATAAGAGTTAAAATTGAAAGATTGAAAGTCAAGACAGAGAACAAGAAAACTAGGTAGGAAAGGGGAAAGTATTTTTGTAGAAGCTGTGAAAGCAGTCCATTTAGTCACAGAAAGTGTTTGAACCTGTAGTGGGAAAGTGGGACAGAAACAAACCACATTATCACCCCCATAATCTTAGTGAAGTTCTACACGGTGATTCTTCATGGTTGTATGTTGCTTCCATATATATGTTGTCTTGCAGGAAGGAAGTCTTTGACTTTGAAAACTCAGACTCTTCAAGTCATGAAAAGGTAAAGTTGAGAACAGAAGTTGTTAAGAGCTATGGTCCCAACTCAACACCTTAACAGAGTAGTAACTTGCAGGAGGGGACATAGTTCGTTGCAGAAATGCTGTAAGGATGGACACACTGTTATAGCAAAACAGACAACTGGGAATCTGAGACTTTTTTTGTTTGTGTGGTGGAAACGGATTTTTTTTTTTTTGAGTAGGGAGAATGCTCATCACTGCTTGAATTTTGCAGTGGGTAATGTATGATATCACCAACAGAAATCTGAGCTGTTGCTTGAGTGAGGCCGTGGGGTATCTCTGTGATTGAAGGCCAGCCTTCCTTTGTGTTTTGCTGATTATCAAAAGCAGATTGCTGAGCATCTGCTTTGTGCTTCTAGGCTAGACAGAAGAGACTGAAATCCGTTTCAAGCCATGCTTTGCAAATTAGGAATCCCTGGTTAAAAACCAGTCCTCACAAAATTTTTTTGCAAGTTCTGCTTGACTTATATTTTGCAGACCCTTGAAAAAATGAAAAATAATGAGTTGCTTTGCTTGCTTTGAAACTTTGACCCGTGTGAGTTTTCTGAAGAAGTGTAAACGTGCTCCTGATGGCTTCCACCAAGGTGGCTCTGCTGCAGAAACCCTTTGGCTTTCAGCCTCTTTCCTAGTGTGAGAGATGTCACTGCCACCTGCTGCTAATTCTGTGGCAATGGGTGATGAATGGGACACCCCAGTTTTCTCTTCTAAATGGGACATTGCCGGATCCTTGCTACTGCCACTGGGTGTCAGCATAAATCCCTGTTCCATGGCATCCTGCCCTGCGTCCCAGCAACCCCGTCCCAAGGCTGTCCAGGGACCGTGTTCTGTGTTTACATGTGCTACTAGCAGTGGTGTTATTGATTAAAACGATGTTTCTTATGACGTTAGTGCTTAAAATGAGCATTACTCATAAAGCAGGGAAAGGAGAAAGTAACTCTGTTTAAGACAACAAGTGTTTGTCTCTTATAATTTAGGACACTTTCAATCAACAAATTCCACTCCCTTAAAAGGTGAAATTTCCATGCTGGACTCCTGAGTTTGATACATATAATTATGTAGATTATTTTATGGGGTAGCCGGACTCAAAGACAAATATCTTCTTCTTTTTCAGGTTGCTGAAGCCAAAGGAAAGATTCTTGGTCAGAAAGCTTCTTCACAAAATCAGAGGTACAGGATCATACATGTACCATTTATCAACTTTTTGCTATGTGAAAAAGAGTTCATAGCTTTTGTTAAGCTTTTTTAAGTTAGGATCAAAAAGGCTGTGTGATTTTTCTAATACAATAGTTCCTTGCTTAGCTACCACGGTATCTGTGGATGTTATTGGTACTAATTTTCAAATAGTAACTGAGAATATAAAGGTTATAGGAAAGAATAGAGTCTCCTGTCTACTTTGATTATAATAAGATTTTAACATGACTTTAACTCTTAAATATCGTCCTTCTCTGATCATATGTGTAAACTGCTGACTTAATTTTTGAAAAATGCTTAAACTCCCTGCCTTGCTTTGGCTGCCTCCCAATTATAGCAAGCTGCCAGGAACTTGCACCTCTAAGTATGTGGGTTAATTTCTGTTTAAAAAAAAAAGCTAATTTATAAATATCCCTGAGTTGCTACTTTCAAAAACCAAGCAAAGAAAAATTTGGCTAGTGACTGCACTTTAATAGTTTGGTTCTTGTGCTGATCTCTCAAGGAACCTTCCTGCGATTTCTGTTTGACTGTGCCCCTTCTGTGGTGTGCTACTGTTAGTGTTCGCTTGTCTAATTTGGGTCTTTATGTGCTACTTGGCAGGACTTATGAAGTAAAAAACAAGAACAAGGAATCAAACAATCTCGAGAGAAGGCAGGTAGGTTTTCTGTGCTTTTTCATCCCTAGAGCCTTTGATTGCTGTGTTTGTCCATCTGTACAAATCTGTTGCACCCCTAAAGAGGCTGAGGTTTAAACCTTACCCGGGGCAGAGGTGGAGGAATATGAACCTGGTAGCCTCTAAATAGCCTGTTTGTTGCTACTGAAAGCAGCACTCAGGGTGCACCATCACTGCCAGCGAGCGAATTGTCTGTTATATTTTTTTTTGCCCCACTGATGTGCTGTTGGCTGCAGCTCAGGCATACTGAAGTTTTCCTTCTTGCAAGAGCACTTTTAAACACAGGAAAGGGGGGAAGAAGAGGAAGGAGGATGCTGTAAAAACCCCATATTGGCAAAGGGCAATCATCTGCCTCTCAGTGTTTTTATGCTGGTGGTTTGACAGCTAACTGTGACTGTTTTGGCAGATTTCACAGCTTAAAATGCTTTACATATTGCACTGTGGGGAGGAAGAAATGGAGTAACTTGATAGTAGTTGAAGGGGAATGGCTGAGGGTCTTCTCAGTGAGCTGATTAAGCAGAACTCACTCTTAAGAGGGTCTCTAGTCCAGTTACAGGAAACATCTTTTTTCGGAAAGCAACAATGAAAATACAAGCACTGGTCAGAGTGAAAAAAGCTGGATCCTTGACTCTCAGATACAGTCGGTGCCAAAATCTGTTGACTATACCCGAAAAAGAACAAGGGTGAGAAGTAAATTGAAAGGTAAGTGTAGTCCCCTATTGACATTTAGCTATGCATGATGTGCTGTGCTGTGCTACAGAAAAGCAAATGGCTGGTGATGGTTTGAGAGTGTTCAGCCAAATCCTGATCCTCCTGAGTGGGAGGGAGCAGGTTCGAGGCTGGCAGCAAGGGGTGCCCTGTGGAGGAGGTGCATTGCGCACTCTTGTGCTTGAGCTGGTCTCTGGTTCCCTTCCCAGAGTGGGGTTGAAATATCTGGGTGGAAATCTGGCACTTAAACATCTGTGTGGGTGTAGCCCTCTGTGTGTTGATGGGGAAGGGCCCCTGAGTCCCGAGCTGGTGGCTGTGTTGGTGCTCTTGAACACAACAGGAAGAAGATCTCTTTAAAGCTACCACACCTCCTCCCTGTAACTTTCCTCTCCTCCTCTCCCCAGAAACATGATTGACTTGGCAAAGTAAACCTTGAAAAACCTGACAGTTTGCAGACCATGGCACTCTGCTCCCTTAGATAGCTGGTCTGATAGACCAACTGTCCTCTTAGAAATAATCACATTTGATTTTGCAAATCACGGATAGCATTCTCTGCTCAGACCTGCCCAAGAGCAAACCTCCCCTACAGCCTGCTCCATGGCCATCTACTGCTGTGACCTCCAAATGCAAACCGAATTGCTCTGAATGAGATGGAATGTGTCTGTCCCATTCATGGAGAATGAGGCTTTCTCAAGTAGCTGTTGGATTCAGTGGGAATGAAAAAGCAAAAGAAAGTTGAGGTTGAAATTATCCTTTTTACCGTGTTTCCTTGGGAGTTGTTCTCACTCCAGTGTCAGCCCACACATCCTGCCTAGGACTTAGGGACCATCAGACAAGATGCAGAGCCTGCCCTTTTTCTTGGCTGTTCTGGATGCAGTGAGTTGTGTATGTTTGCATCATTGTATCTGGCTTTGTTAGAGAAAGGGCTTTGTTAGTAAAAGGGTGTTTTTTGAAGCTTACTATAAGTTTTGTGGCATTTAATCTTGCAAATGCCCAGAAAACCAAACTGAAAAGGTTAACATCATGGCTAACTCGGGTAACAGGGTAAAGTACACACTTAACTTTGTAACCAAGTAAGCTTTTTTCCTTGCAGTGCTTCCAATGTCTTCCGCAAGTAGTGGCAGTGACTACGCGTCAAAGAAGGTAAGGCGGTGTCATGCTTAGGTGTCTCAGATTTAAAAACATACATGTAAAATGTGTACAAATGAGTTAGAATTAAATAAATTGGTGCTATCTTTTTTCTCAAATGTTCTGATGGACAGATTTGTCTAAGCGTTGCTGAGACTGTATTGGTCTACTAGAGGAGGTCTTAAGGAAACATGGGAAACTTTGTAGAAACAACTGTGTCTGAGTCCTGAGCATGTTGTCCTGGAGTGATATTTACCTTTGACAAGTGAAAAATTGGACTTGGTGTGACACTTGCCTTGACACAGCTGCCTATCTAAATACCTGCCCTACAAGGCTGTGTCCCCACGCTGTCTTCTGCCCTGTATTGTGCAGTGCCTTGGGAAACCTCGCGTTCACCTCTGCTTTGATGGCAATTTTCAGAGCTTTTATTCCAAGTCCTGTGCTCACACCACAAGTCCTGGTTCATGCACCATCGTTCTCTGCTTTCAACTATAGCTCTGGGAAAACTAACAGTGGATTATGTAGCAATGGAGGAGTTGGTGGACCAGACATACATCAAGCAAATAAAATAAAATTGAGCTATGTCAGGCTTTTCCAGTGCCCAGCTGTTAAATGCCACGTATCAAATATATCTCAATCAAAATATATTTGAAATACAGAAAGTTTTGAAAAAAACTCTCCAGAATGCTTAGTTGCATTAAAAGCTTTTATTTTCCTCTGGAAAAATTTTCTTTACTCTCTTGACTATAATGCTTCTATTCTACTTATTAAAAATATCAAATGTACAGCTCTGGTGGCTAAAAGGAAAAGTGATGCATGCATTGAACTTCAGGGCACAGGTCTCCTTCAGTGTTAGAGAGCCATCAGTATGTTAGGAATATTTCAAGTATATCTCTGCCCTTAGTGTACATAAAAAACCAAACCAACCAACTAAAACAACAGCCCAAGCCCCTAGTTCTTTAGTAATGTTTAAATAAAACAAATGCTTAGACACTGTTTTGTTTCAGGGGGGAGAATCAAGGAAAAGAATTAAAAAGGAGATGCAAAGGGAAAAAAGCAGATTTAGCGCCAAGGGAGGTGATTTACCTACAGTGGATCATGCTGGTATTTCTATTTTAATCTTCTTCAGTGCATTAGAAAAACTGTTTTGATACATATGGGTCTGTACTTTTTGGGTTGGTTTTTCTTTTTGATTTTGCTGTTTGCGTTCACATTTTCTTCATAAGCATTCTGCTTGGTGATATTTTTTGTAAGGGTTGTGAGGGCTGGATATTGTTTGCATGGATACTCTTATGCAGGGAGAACATTAGCTGGGGCTAGTGAGAGGTGAAGGAAAGAACTTAATTGACAGCCACGAAGAAAACAGCCTTTGGACTGAGTTTGAACCACCATCTCTTCCCTGTGTAAAGAGATAAAGAAGAGGGTGGAGATTTTTTTGTTGTTGTTGTCATTAAATTGAGGTTCCTAGTCAATGCAGGATTCAGCCTCTGTTGCCTGTGTCATTTGACTGATCTCTCACGCAGATGAAACGCTCTCAAAAGAGCCCAAAGAGGATTCACTATCACCAGGTGTGTCTGCCAGGGGCTATTCCAGTGATGTGGAGAAGGCTGTGCAGGTGCAGTATGCAGTGCTTAAACTCCTTCCAGTCTGCTGTCAGGCTTCTTCTCATCTAAAACCAATGCATCATGTCACTTTTTTTCCTATAACTAGACAAGTCCCTGACAGCTTACCTGCAGTGCAGGGTGGATACCTTCTTACTTTGTTTTCTTTCTCTCCTTAGAAGTTACGTGAAGCACCTGGAAATTTGACTAGAGAAGAAGAAAGTACTAAGCGGAAGGACTCAGGTTTGTTATTCTTGATAACATGGAAGAGTTGTTAAAAAGCAGAAAGGGGCATTGCCAAAGCATTATTTCCTTTCAAAGACAAAATAGCACTGACTTTTCTTGAGATAATTTTTTGCTAAGTTCTGTTTCTCTGTTTTTTATATTATGACAGACTATGGTAAGATGATTTTATATACATGCTTGAATTCATTGCTAATCCCTAAATCCTGTTCTTGATCACAGGGGAACTTGTAGTATAACTACTAAGAGCTGGGGATTTGCAAACTAGTGACCCAAGAGACACACAGAACATGCTTTTTAATGGTTTGAAAATGCACTGCAGCTTCAGTTTAAAAAGAACAAGCCTTTCTTAAAGTTGTTGACTTTACACCTAAGAGCAGAGACACAGACCATTGCTATAAGCATTTGGTAAATGATGACTTGGGTAATGCTTATTACTGCTGTAGCTTTTTTTTTGGGTAGGTGACTTAAGGAATTTTTTTTAATGAAACTGAATCTGCATAAACTAAGTCAGAATTGCAGCACAGTCTCTTTGTGATTGGAAACAACCAAACTTCAAGAAAGTTGAGCAGCAATGGATTGTTTTCATACTAATCTTCTAAATACTGGTGTAGTTTTGAGAGACTGTCTTGAAGTTATTGCTGTGACTATGAATCAAGTCACTGAACAAAAGCGTCCCTTTTCTAATGACCTGGCTATATTTGTGTTCCCTATATATCTCTTACCTGTCCTGCAGTTTCAAAATACACTGTCACTGCACCAACAAATCTGCTTAATTTTGGGGGAAGATAAGTTCTGCAGACTTGATTTTTTTTATCACTGTTTACTGTACAGCCTTACCATTGGACAGGAGTTGATACCATGAGAAGGCACAAGTAGGCTTATGTTCAGAAATTTCAAGTGTGATCTGTGACTGCATTTGAATTCTTTCTTTATGAACCCAAAATCTGCTTCAGGATGCTTCTTGTGTTCTGACTGTCCTCCTTGTCTTGGGCCCCCACCACCTTCCTTTCTGCACTATGGAGACTGCAGTCATCGCTGGTCAAACAGATCTCTCACTGAGGTTGAGAAAAGTATTAGTGAGACAAAGAGATGGGTTTTTTTTTTCTTTTAGGCAAATTTTCCTTAAAATACAGGCTGTAGTCTCCCTCAGCATGTTCCTAAGGTTTTTTCTGGATTAAAAGCTATTGTATAGCAACTCTAGTGAAGCTGCAGAAAGGTGGCTGTTATGCGTGTGGTTAGGTATTTTTCCCCTCTATTGTGTTTATGCATGGGTTTTGGGGTTTGGTTTTGGCTTTTTCTTGTGAGGAGAAGCTGGAATTAGCTTAGTAACATAAACAGATTGCAAGATTTGGTCGGAAGTGTGAAGAAGCCGGACAAGAGGTTTTTTATGGTTAGAGTAGCTGGTCAAGAGAGCAAATTATCTTTAAGATGGAGACATGTTAGCTTTCTAGTTATCTGCATAACACTAGGCAGTCTAGTTGCCTGCTTTTGCAAGGGAAGATGCTTGCTAGTGAAGTCTTATCCTGTCCTGTAAGTGTGATTTCAGATGCTAAAATGAAGTTGCCTGCTTTTCTGAAGCATTGGTAATTCCAGTGGTGGTTTCTGCTTGAGCAGATACTGTCATGTACCTCATGCAGAAGAACCGGTCTTTTCTGAAATACTTTCTCTTCTCTTCCCAGATACATTAGAAAGCACTGTCATAAAAAAGCTTAAATTTTCCAGCTGGGAGACAAATCATTCATCTTCTGACACTAACTATAAACCAAGGAAAATTTTTGATTCAGTAGAAGAGGAAGCAGAGATCCAAAAAGGTAAAGTCAGGTTGGCAATTAAAGTGAAGGCTTAAATGCTTTCAGCTTTTCTTTTGTTATAGTAGAAATCATAGTCATACGGAAGCTTGAAGAGATGTGTCTGTAGCAAGGCTAACTTCTCCAAAGTCCAAAATTAACAGAAGGTGCATGTTTCATCACTGTCATTGGAACCATATGTGGAGGTGTGAATGACGAAATTTGGGTTCCCCTCAGTAAGCTGCTCAATGATATCCACACTTTCTAGTCTTCCTGAATAGTGACTGTCTAGAGCTATTAAAAAAAAACCAAACCAAAACAAAAAAAACCCAAACAAACCAAAAAAACCCCCAACAAAACCCAGGAGCTGAAAAAAAAGCATGCAGATAATGGACAGAGTAACTGCAAAACACTGCTAACTCCAAACACAAGGGGATTAGGCTTTCTTTGCAATGAATAAGTAGAAGACAGGAAAACAGTGGTGACTTTTTTTTTTTTTTTTAAATTCCCTTATGTTGTGCTTTTGCCTCACTGTCTGTAAATATACTGCTCTTTGTGTTGCTCTATTGTGCTTCTTGTTCCTTACTGCTAAAAAGTATTTCTCAGTGGACTTTTGGGCCAGTTTTCCTCTTGCTTATGAGCTCTAGAAGAACAAAACTCAAATTCCAACTCTATAACAAAAGTTGCTGCTTACATGAATGACAAACCCTTCAGTAGCAGGAAGGCTTATATTCCAATAAGCCCTCCAGCATGATGCTAACTGGTTATACACTTCCTCCTAGGTCAGGAAATGGATGATAGTGTGGGTGATGTGTTTTTTTCCAAGATGCAACATGAAGACTTCAGTCATTCAGGAGTGATTCCTGCATTTGAAAGCTTTGTTGACCAGCTGAAGAAACTGTTCTGGGTAATGTGTACTCTCTTACTGTGTGTGGCAATTTATCATATTATGTGAAATTACCTTTTATCTCCAGAGGAGTTGGTGCAAATATCAGATATTTATTTTTTTGCCCAAGACCAGGGCTTTGGCTGAAGTGTTTGTTAGTCTGAAGCTCTTAGAAGTATTCTGCATAACCTGTATATTCTGAGAAATGTTACAGGGAAGACATAAAGGAAGTTTTAATTAGCTTTTTCCTTCTTTTTGTCTCTACATGTAGGTTGGAACATCAGACTTGGTTAGGCACTTTAAATACTTTCCTCAGAGGGGAGAGATCAAGGCTTTTTGAAAAGTGATCCAGTGTAGTGACAGTGTACCTATGCTGGAACTGTGGGTCATTTTCCTCATGAACACATATCAAAAATAGAAAAACTCCCTTTTGGAGCATAGAGCGGTTTCACTGAAATGTAAGATCAAGTAACTTTTTCATGATAAAAACCAGAAAGCAATACAGGCTGCACCTATTGACTAGAACATGCATAGATCCATAAGGACATGCTTTGAAATTAATGGTATGTGGAGGTGTTAGCTGCACAGTTTGTAGTGAACTGTCTATTAGTGGTTCACTCAACTGTACAGACCTACTTAAGATGCAAGCAATCAACTGCTACTGTTGATTTAGCTCTAACAAGTAATGTGGACATTAAACCAAGTTTAATATGACAGAACAGCGTCTGACCCATTAGAAAATCTTCTTGTGGTCAAAAGCTTTGAAAAAACCAGATGTGGCAGAGCAGACTTACAGTGAGTGGTTTTGTTGGTGTGTTTTTGTTTGTTTGTTTTTTGTTTTTTGTTTTGTTTTGTTTTTTTTTTTCTTTCCAGCTAGTGCTAGGTATTCACACTAAGCTTTTTGGTACTAAATCCTTGAATCAAGGCTGAAGGTGGATGCATTTACAAATCAGTTAAGATTAAAATGCACACTGCCTGTATAAATGTTGACCTGAAATAGTGCTAACAAAGACCTGGTTTTTGGCAGTTGTTAAGTGTGTTGAAGTATAGGTGAAGCTTGCCTCTTCACTGATGGGATAACATGACCCCGACCTGAAGTTACCTGGGTTACACAGAGGCTTGTTGGTGTAACTAGTGTGGCTGAATGAAATCAGTTCATATTTGTAGTACCTATATGTCACCTCACTGCTGTTTAAATTTGACTTATGATGGTTTCTGCTAAGCTGAATGACAGCCTACAGAGGGATTTGCATTCCGGGGAAAGGTTTTGCAAACTAGACTTACAGGCTTTGGCCTAGGGCATTGCCCATCCCTAAAGGTGCATCCTGTGGCTAGGCCCGGTACAAAAGGATGGAGATCAGCACACAGAATGCCCTGAGGTCTTCGGAGAAGAACTTATCTGCCCTGCTGAACCAGATACACCAGTGCAGGTAAGCTGTCTGGTGCTGACTGAAAACAGTTTCAATTTTGTGTAAATTTTAATTGACAGGGAAAGCAAACCTGACAGTTAGCTACTGCCCTTATGATTTGTAAGGCAAAATAACTTGTGTGTGTCCCTTTTTTTGTTTTATTTTGTTTTTCTGCAAGAAAACTTTCAAAAATGTAGCTCCTGAGATTGATCCTGATTTTTCCTGTAGGAGAAGAGTGGATGGATTCATTAATGCAAAGCAAGCTTGAGTTACAAGCAGTTGATGAAGCAGTCCTTGAACTATCTTCTGGTTCTCATCAGTGTTCACAAATCTGTTTAAAAATTCTCTTCTTACACTTTTTTTGTTTCTGTTTCTAAATTGTTTAAGAAAGAAGCCAGGTTTTGATTTACTTAATGAAGTGAGGGAGAAGAAAAGGGATCTGTTATAGGCCCATTTCTGTAGATTGTTTCCATGTGCATGAAATAAGTGCCAGAAGTGGGCTATACAGGCATTCACCAGCTTGGGCTTTAAGAAAGTCATTTTGCTTTACAGGTTGTCAAATTTCTTAGGTAGGAGATAGATAAAAAAATCAATTCTAATATTTGTGGATTTGTTATAAGTGAAATACAAGCACAGTCTAAGAAGTAATTAAGTCTATCAGGCCTCTGTATCCACTACACAGTCAGTTTACAGGATTTAGAGCAAATGTAGTATGAAATAATAGCTCCTAAATTGAAAAATTCCTAGTATCAACAGGACCTCTGTGAGTTGAATTTGCTTGCCATTAAGGTACATGGAGAAGTTTCAGTTCCAAAAGAAAAAAAATTAATGTTTTGGGGTGGAAGGTAAGAGTTGATGGCAGTGAGCTGCTGCCATGTTTTGATGTTGCTAACTACGTAACCTGGATCCAACCAGTCACGGGATAGTGGAGACAGAGCTGTGCCAAATTTGTCCTACCTCACTGCCAAGGGAATGGTGGCAAACTCAAGTGGATAAGGGTGTTGCTGGTTAAGGTTTAGAAATTGATGGCATCTGTGACAACACTGTATGTATCAAATCCGTGATAGGAAAATCCATTAGACATTGTGTCAAGATAGAATCATAGAATGGTTTGGGTTGGAAGGGACCTTAGAGAAGTCTTCAGCTTGGGAAATCTCTGCTGAACTTCCTGGAGGCCAGGAGAAGTATTTGGGAGTCAAATCTGCCCCATGTAGTTCAGCAGGGACATTTGCTTCTGCCAAAGTTAGGCTTGCTGCTGAAGGGATTGTCATCCACCTCGTGTGACCGCACGTTAAAGTGTCAAACTTGTTTCTGTTCTCCATCGCTAGGCTTAATAAACTTGAGACCTTCCAGAAGATTGTTGTTGACGAGCTTTCCAGTCTTGAGAAGGAAACTCAAATTTTGGCAAACATGGAGAAGGATGCAGTGGTGCGTATGACTTCTCGTGTATCAGCCTAGCGAGGTACTCCTTCCCAAGTAACGGGGGTTTCCTTTGGGTCTCTTTTTAGGACTTCTGGAATGCACATCTGCTCAAGCTGAATTCTTTCTGCAACCAGCAAAAACAAAGGTACATCTCTGCCAGTTGTCTTGCGCGCTCACAAGTCCTCCAATGGTCATAGAGGGTATTAGTTAGGCTGACAGTACCCTTGCTGGTATATGGAAAAGGATTCTAAAACCTGTATTGCTTCTCCACCTGGTGTCCGTTGACGGAGCCTTTGCAGCCTTGTGAGGGTTTTCAATTGGAACTAGAGTGCGATGAGGGACTCTGTGTGGGAAGTTGTGCAGGAGAGGCACAAACCTCAAGAGACCTGTACCCAGATCTGGAACAAGGTGCAATGCACTCTCTGGATGTGACTTTATCTAGAGGTCAGAGGAGGTGGAAGACGATCATTTCTTATGTAAAAGATGCTGTTGGTGCAAGTGCTGGGTAAAAAGCTGCAATTCTCAGGCTTATTTTTAATGGTAAATATCTCTGTCAAAGTTTCATCAGTAAGTACTAATGCTTCACAGAAAAACTAGCCAAGCTTGATTTTCTTTCAGAATTGAGTCTGTTGACTCAGCCGTGGGTGAATCAGTGAAGAGTTTTGCCGACAATATCCAGAATACAACAGTACGGTACACGTGATACAAAAGCAGTTCTGTGTGGGTGGTGGACTGAGCTCTGATTAAGTGTTGGAAGTGAGAAAATGAAACTGAATTCTTCAGAGGGGAAGCCTTTGTTTTTTTTTGGGCTGGTTCTTTGTGGGACCTCTGGTCCTGATGCATGGAAAGCATCAAGAAAGCAGTGTTTGCCCAGCTGGACTATGAGATTGTGATGCTTCTCCTGGGTTCACAGTTTGGGTATTTGTTCATCCTAAGGGTGGTTTCTGTGCAGTTAGTGGTTCTTAATGCATTTGGCCTTGGGGTTGTGCATCCATGAAAACCTGTGACTAAGAGCTCTGCAGTTTAACAACACCTTGCATGCTTTCTTTCACCTGCTCTTTGAGTCTGGCAACTTCTAGCCTTGATGCCTTCAAGTTTAATTTCTAAAAATTAATTTTTTTTGTTTACCTTGTATCCTGGTTAAATATCTGTTGAAATTCTTAAACTCTTCAGAGTCTAATCACTAACTTATGCCCTTGTTTGTATTTATAGTTAAGCTGAATACTGTGCTAACTTCGATACAATGCTTAGTTTCTATCTGGTTCACCCCATCACATGGGCATGTATTTTTTCTACTGCTGCTGTTCCAGCTTTCATGCACAGGTCTGATGTCTTTGAGAGTCTAGCATTCCTGCAATAAGAGCAGTGGATTACTATGATGTGTGTGATGCCACGTGTCTGCACTGCATAGGGCTGAAGAAAGCTCCCTGCTTGAAGGAACAACTGTGGTCACCCCAGTGGACTGGGCCTGGGATTTTTAGAAAACATGCTGAAAAACAATGGCTTGTTTCTTTTAGCTATTAAAGCTGGAATCCTGAGCCTTTCCAAAGGGAAAGGTTTCCACTATGAGCATTGAGTTGCTGAAGGACAGAGGTGCCACTGGAGAAGGACACTTTTAGAGAGAGCAGGGCTGAGAAAGGGGCAAACATGTCATGGGAGCTGCTCATCCTGCAGCACTTGTTTGAGGATAGGTGCTTGAGAATTAAAAGCTGAGTCTAAATGTGCTTCCGGGACCTTTGCAGTTTCTTGTCTTGTACTATTTCTATGTTTGTACAAGCTTTTGAAATACTTTCTTACTTTTTTTTGTTCTTCCCTGCAGTACGAACATCCAATGAAGAAGGCAGAAGAAAGCAATGTGTTCATGGTTCCTTCTGACTAGCAACCCCCTGAATTCATTATTACTCTTAAATTTTGAACACCTTGTGTATGCAGCATAGAGAAGATGGTTCTGTGAAGGATATCAATTTGTTTTAAATGCAAAGAAAAAAGGGGAGGAAAAAAACATCGACATTGAGCCTTTTTTTTTTTTTTTGCCTAAAAAGAATATACACTGCTAAGTGGTCCAGTTATGATCCCTGTGTTGATAACAACTTTTTCTGAAAAGTTGCAAGATGGGTCCCTTACATATAAAAGAAATTTAAAAAAATATCTAAAGATAATGATTTGTCCACCAAATGGATGGATATTCTGCTTTACTTTGAGTGTTCTGCTGATTGATTCTAAGTAAAATATTGTTTGCATAGAATAACAGTCTTGTTTTCTTCAAAATGATGCACTGTGCATGGCTGGAAAGGTACTCTAGAGTCCTGTGTTCCTTGCATGGGATGTGTTAGGCATAGCCTTTCCTGTGTGCAGCAGCAGTGGGGGAACTGCTGCCTTGACACCATTGCCACTCAATTCTGGGCTGCAAAGTTGAAAGCGGAGAGGAATCTACTAGCCAGATGCCTGATGGCAAACTGGAGACTGTGGAGGGCAAGAAATTTGGAGCATTGAAGAGAAAATGGCAAGTGAGGCTGGAGAAAGTATTTCTGCAACCAGTGACTTTTGGCTTCAAGGAGAGTTCAAAGTACAGTGACCAGTGCTAGGATTAGACAAAATAGCATCAAAAGTCTCTTGAAAGCAAGCCACAGATAAACCATGCGATGTAATATTTTTCCTATGCTTTGACAGAGTTCCCCAAGTGATATTGCTCTTCACAAACTGTTGCAGACACAGCATTATAGTGCTAGGGCACTGTAATGAATTTGTAGGAACATGCCATGTTTCCAAGCTTTGGGTTTCTATCTACTTACCTTATAAACCAACCTCAGATTACTGTGTGGGTTAGAGTCGAGGGAATCTTCCCCTGCACATAATGTACCTTCATAACAAAAGCCCAAACCCTGACAGGGTTTGTTTTACCACTGAAACAGCGGGGTGATGCTGTTCCTTCTTGACAAGGTCATGCAGGCTAGCGCCAGCACAGAAAACAAGAAGAAGCTTCTGTTGCTATTGCTTTACCATTTTATGCCTATTCCTTTAGTTTAAGTACTCCTGACTGGATTTGACATGAGATGAAACTTGTTTAACCACGTCAAGGGGTGGTTGGTGCTTTCCTTCTAGGATGGTTTAAAAGAAAAGACTACTTCAACCCTGCCCTTTCCAAAGCTCCAGATCCACTGGTCTGCCTTCTCCTATTCACAATGTTAAGGGCTGTAACCCTGATTTCACATTCAGTAGTTTGTGTTTGTTTCTTTGCAGCCTGGCCCTGACTATGCTGCACCCTCCTGCTGCTTTTCAGTGTCTTTAAAGTCTTTACAGCTGCTGTTTGAAAATCTAGGCTCTCAAAGCACTCAGTCAAAGTGAATTTTGAGAGATGAAGCTTTAACTTCTGTGAACAACTCTGCTTCTGTCTGGTAATACTCTTTAGTTTTGCATCCCAGTAGCAAAATTTTCAGCATCCTCTGTCCCACTAGTGTGATGGTATGCTGTGGTGCAACCAAAGTGACATTAATCGAAACAGGCTTTAAGATATCAGCCTGAATAATCTGAGGATGTCTTCCTATTGCCTGGCTGTACCCGGTCCTAAATTTGTGGCTTTTACTACCTGAGTAGTAATGCAAGGTCCTAGCCCTAGGGGTGTGATAAGACTTAAACTGCCCTGTTGCTTTTTATTCTAATCCACAATTCACACTGGTGAAAGTAAAGGGATGCTTTTTGTAATGTTACTCCCAGTACCAAGGTGAGCCTTCTACTAGTTCCCACCTAAATGTCTACATTCCATGGGTTTATTCCTCATGACCTGGCCAAACATGATGATGCAACCAGGCCTATTAAGGTGCTTGATGTGAAGCAGACCTAAGAATTGAGATGAGCTGGCCACACTGTGGCTGTTCTTATATACTGAATTTGCAAAGCCATTCTGTAACCTGTAACTATAACGCTTGGAAGGTGAGTGTTGAGCACTTCAAAAGGCATGGATAAAGGAAAGATCAGGGTTCCTTACTTATTAAAAATGTTGTATGCATCTATACTTGCTTTTAACTGTTTCATTGGAAAAGTCTAAACCCTAAGAGGCTGCTTTTAGTGATGGGTATGGGAGAGCAGAAAGGGATGTCATAGCACTTAGATACCTTCTACTCCTGCACTTCTCTTTCTATCCCTTTATATGAAAAACTTCAGCTTTTGAGCTCGGAGAGTTCCAGCTTGGTAACCCATAAACTGCCTGAGGTGAAAATTTTGGACTTTACTGATGGTCTTTCCATCTGTAGTCAGTAGCAGTACTGTTTGGAGACAACATCTGGGACAGGAATGACTTTTTCTGACCTTGAACAGTCCATCTCATACAGCTTCCTGCATTGTTTGGTCAATCAAGCATGATTGAGCCTAAACCTGCTGAAGGTCTAAAGTGCATTTGGTTTCTACAACAGACCTGTAACTGGGTTACCATAATGTTTCATTTTGGAAGGTAGGTAGTTGACCTTGGCATGTTTCCTTTTCCTTCTCACTTACACTTTTAAGAGTGTTATTAATCTAGATATTTCTTTTATTTTCTTCCTTTCAGTGCAAACGGATATAGCTCAATTTTCAACCTGTTCAGTTTCCTTAACACTTCTAAGCCAGAACAACAAAGAGGATGTGGATCCTGAGATGCAAAACACGTACATCAGAAAAAGAAATGAGCACTTAACAAAGTGCACATTAAGGACAACTGCTTTATGCATTTTAAGGTCTAAACAGAGTTTAATGTTAAACTGGTTATAACCCCTGCTATCTTCATGCTGTATCTCTTTCAGGGGGTGATGCTGTGCCAAGTGCTTGTTTACCTGCACATTCTGTACTGGCGCAATGGTCCCTCCAAGGTCCAGAGGGCTACAGTTACCGAATGTCAAGGCTGTACAAAGCCAAAGAAAATGATGTCCTCTGTGGCTGGAAACAGGTAGAGGAACTGTGTATCTGTGTTTGCCCTGGCCTGGGGACAGCTTGCCCTACTTGTCAGTAGAGTGTGATGATATTGACTGGAGCACACTGGGACAGTCCTGCTTCTGCAAGCAGTAGGACTGTGTCTTTTAGACTGTGTCTAAAAGAGTACTGCTCTGGAAAATAGACATGTTTCTAGGAACAGCTGAGAGCTTTTGTATACTGGAATCAAACACAGCAACCTGGTCATACAGGTTTTTTATCACGAGGAAGAGTTAAGAAAGAGTTACTTAAAACCACACTCTGAGAAAAACCTTGCAAAGCTGAGTCTTGGCACTAACCAGAAGTCTGATATATCTTCTTTAATTTCAGTGTTCTTGGAATGGTCTTTAGTAACGCTCATTCCTTCCTCCTCTTCCTTTGGGAAGTTACTTACATCCAAAACCAGTGAATCAAACTCAGTAGCTTTCTCCTTTACTTCCCTTTCTCTGCAGACATACCCTTTGGTGAGCCCAAACCAGCAAGGTCAAGTATTTGCATCTCTTCTCCCATGTTTGTATTCTCAAGCTGAAAGAAATGTTATTTTTGAGATGGATTTCTCCATTGTCTCTGTTTACTACCATCAGATTCCAATTGAAAGCAATCTGAGAAATAAAGGATGACTTGATAGGCAAGTACAAACTTTGAACAAACAAGTTATTGCAGTACTACCTTTGTTCAAAAACCAAGTTTTTACAGGTAGTGGGACAAAAAAAACACAGGGAAACTTTACATGAACACCAGCCAAGGTGGTGTGTAAAGTTGTGGAGGTTGTTTCTCGGTCTGAAGTGAATGTCCTGAGAACTTCCTGAAAAAGTTTGAGAAAACAGTCTCAAACAGTTTGAAAAAGTAACCGGTTTCCAGTAATTTGATGCCTTAAAGAGGAGTGGAGACAGTCTGATAGTAAAATTTGTTTATTTACAGTGTTACGTGTTACAGGAAAATCAGTTTAAAAAGTCAATGCTTCTCTTTCTTCAAAGTTGCGGCATTTTGAAGATGTTAAGACATATCTCAAGAATTTTAAACATACCTGATTCCAGCCTTCCTGGCTGCTCTGGATCTGCAAGGTGAGACCGCCTCGTTTTTTTTTTTTTTTTTTTTTTTTTTTTCTTTTTCTTTTTTTTTCCCCAGCCCTTTGAATTTCAAGTAAGGCATTTATTTATTTCCTTTTCTTTTTGAATGAGGTTTCAACAAAACAAAAGACAATATGTGTGGGTTTGATTGCCGTAGTAAACTTTAACACTTAGCGTGCTGCTGACGCTGCCCACCTTGATAGTCAAATGCACGCTTTGCCATCAAAAGATTATGGACTCCACTCGGCCTAAAATCTGTGCTGAGACACACAACCCTTTTCTTGCCTGCCTTAGATGAATGGTTCAGCTAGTTGCCTGGTGCACTGTCTTGTCAGCTCTTTCAAAGCCCTCTGCCTTTGCCCTGGTTTCCAGTATCAAGTTGATATCTGCAGAGTCCTGAAGCTTCCCATTTACTTATGGCCATGTAGAACACTTTCAGTGAAACCCACAAATTTCTTACAACGTGGGAGTTTTACAGTATCAATCAGAAAGGCCTAGAAAGCAAAGGTTCTGGAAGGGCTAATGAGAAATAGTATATGCATGCAGTGTCCAGGCTTTTTTTTTTTTTTTTTAAATTGCTGCTTTCCCTCTTTATTGAATTAAATAAAGCAAAACACTGACTTTCAGACAGTGATGTTTTGTAGCCATCACATTCAAACTGAACTCTGACCCAAGACACCCTTCTTCATGCCATTTTATCCTCTTGCTTTTGCTGGACAAACCTGTCTGTTCTTCCCCCCGTACTGTGCCACTTCCTCACCCCTTTTCCTTTCTGTCCATGAGCCTGCATGGCTGCGGTTTCGCAGGCTGCTCCTGATGAGGCTGGCTGCCCTATGTCCATACTCCTCCCTGGAACAAACCTTCCTCCTGTCTTTGCACCTGCGGTCTCCCAGAGCCCCTGATGACAGATCATCTAGATGAGGATATCTAGAGGGGATAACTGACCCTCTAGAAGTGGAAAAGAATTGAAAAGCACGGTTTGGGACATTCTCCTCTACACATAGACCCTCTGTGGCTTTCTGGTCCCTCTGTGCTGGCTGTGTGTGTGGTTTGTCCCCCTCCTGCCCTGGGACCCTGCAAGGTGACAGGAGTGAGAGGACAAGTTTTCTTTACAGAACTGCTTCATTCCAAGGGGCTTGCTGGGCTGGGTGACTGACAGGTGGGGTTTTCTGAGAGAATTTATACACATGAGAATGGAAGTGACCACAATTACTTCACTGTGAAAAACTGAGAGGGGAAAAAAGTCTGTGTCTATTTTTAGTAGAGAAATGGAGTGGGCTAAGTGAGAAAAGGGTGAGGGCAGATCCACAATGTCAACCTTGAATATTTTGAATTTCTAACCATTCAAGGGATGGGGAGGGGAAAATGCAGCTAACTGAAGCAGCATGGAATGTGGCAGGCTGTTGTGAGAGAGACACCTTTACAGCTGCAGACAGTATCTCCTTGCTTTCCCTGCAGAGGATTATGCCTCAGTCCCACCTGTTTCTTCAGTCAGAGACCAGTCTGAATAAGGTCCACCTGGCACAGAAATTCCTGTACAATATGCTTTGCTCGTTGCTGAATCCGCTTTTAAGATTTTCTGCAACTTACAGTCTATTAATATGTGGCATGTCAGTTTGCTTCAAATTAGCAGTGTTTGTATAGGATTAACTTTTACACATTTACACTCAGGATTTATCTTCTTTAAATTGCTAAGCCCCTACTTCTTTCAACATCCTTTTCCTCAGAACTCCTAATAATTAGTGTATCCAAAGTGACTTTTTTTGCTCTGTATTCAGGATACAATACTGGGCAGTTCCAAGGACTTCCATTGCAGCCCCCTGAAACAGCAAGCTTCTGCCAGCCTTCCTGGCATTTGAATCAGGTTGCACATATGTCAAGAAAGTTGAGTGCTGTGCACATCTGTCTGTTAACTATGGGATGGTGCACCTGAGCTCTGCCCTCTGTCATGTTCTTCCCTAGGCCTCCCACAGGATCAAAGGGCTCCTTGCTGGTGTCCACAGGGAGGGAATGTGCTATGGGGAATGGCTGAGAAGAAGAAAAGAGGGGTATGGTGATAGAAAAGGTATGATTCTCACCTTTCCCTCTACCCTCTTTATTTTCCTGACCTTGGCCACAGTTTAGCTGGATGCATTGAGTGCACTGTGAAGCCTTGCCTCAAGACCTCTCACATGCACAGAAAGTGCTCACTGTTTTAGTCTGAACAGAGTCCTAACCTTTTGAAGGCATTGATGGATTTATCCATCAAGTGTTTCATAAGGCGTTTTTGTGTCAGCATTAGAGATCAGAAAGGTTTTCTTCTTCATATGAGAAAGATCTTGGCTTTCTATGTTCTGATGGTGATCTTTGACAAGACAAGTAATCCTACTCACTTTGTTAAAACCTAAATAGCAGTACATTAATAAGTGTCTGGTACAAAGAACTGATAAATGTAATCAAATAGGTTTTAAGCTAAAGCTTGTAATTCAGTCTTTTTTCTTCTTTTTTTCTTTTTTTAGGAAAAAAGGTCATAGGAAACACTGTACTTATTGTGCCTTCTTATTGTTCTGGAATCCATTGGCAGCAGCAAAGTAGTCCTTATGAAAACCATTCTTGATTTCTGTTGTGACAGGGGTTTCCTTTATAGCTGTTCTTGAAGGAGCTTTCCGGTATGTCTATAAAAGCAAAATCCAAAGTAAACACTTGGATTTATTTAGTGGCCCCCAAACACTACTTATTGTTAACTGTAAATTAAGCTGTCTGGTGTTTTTTGATGCAGATGTATATATTTGCTTCAGACTGCATTAAGGGTACTGTACTCTTTTCATTGCTGTGGGTGATGTTACTTTACTAGTATTACCGTAATACTTGATGTCAAAAGAGATTGCAAGCCTTTAAACTAAAAGCTCTATGTATGCAGGCAGGCTGGAGCAGCCCCTGCTAAATGAGGTTGAAGTAAACAATGCAGAGTTGTTTGTTTCTTTTTTTCTAAGGACTGAGAAAGACTCAAAAAGTTATGCAACAAAGCAAACTCAGACCTTTTAAGTATTGAATGTGGTACCTGACTTGTTATACAAGTGCTGAAGAGCTGAGCTGCAATGAGGAGGTTATTACTGAATAACTCTCACAGGCATTACTATATCTATCATTAAGTAACATATATTTTAATACAAACACATTTTAAGTCCTGATGCTCATTCTACATCTGAGTCCATCAATACTGCTATCCAAAAAGTTATATTTTCCCCAGTCTTGTCAGGGACCTCTTGGAAGAGTGCTTACCTTAATGTAAAAGTTTATAAAGAGAATGACCAGTGTGGCCATGTAGGAGGACTGGAACATGAGGCAGCCAAATGGGAATCCACATGGCTTCACAGCTGCACTAAGTGTGTGCACAATAGTGAGCAGAAACTGGATCTGTGGAGGGAAATAATGCATGACTATTTGCTGAGAAAGAGTCAGTGCTAGCTAAATCAGATGCAGCAGTGTCCACTAGTCCTGCTCTTTGAAAATTTGAGTACTCTTGAAAACTATCCCTTTCTAACCTCTGAATGTATTGTGAGGGTTAGGTTAAAATGGCACTCTTATGAAATTAAAAGCAAGGAATCAAAGGTCTTGGAGCTGGCTGGAGGCGTCTCTGTTAGATGGTTTTTATCACTTTTAAATCAGTTTTTCTGTGATTAAGAAGCTTTTCTATGAAAGAGTTCAAAAATAACAGAATTTTGTGGACTGAGGTATTTCTACTGTATTGCAGAAATAATTTCTGAACATCATTTTCTTTAAGTTATATCAGGCTGCACTAGTGACTTATGCTGTATGATAGTTCAATTCTAACTGGCTTAGTTCTGTAAATAACAATGTTTTTTCATAGTTCATTTCATCCTCTCTCACATTTTGAAGCATTTCTGGTAGCTAAATTGAAAGTAAAATAGATACATACCAGTTGTGCCTGAGTGAGGTATTTCTTCCACCAGAGATACTTGCGCATGGATGGGATGACTGACAGTCCGTAGTAAGAGTACATAAGCACATGGATAAAGCTATTCAAAGTGGGTCCAAAGAAACCTGTAAAAATCCACCAGGGAGAAAATTTTTATATACCAACTGCTAAAAAGTGAGAGAAGATATTATTGCTTGTGATATCTCTTCCATATGCTAAGTATTCCTTTCATGCTTATCCCTTGCTAAAAACATTCCTGATGTGTAGAGATGCTGTCCTAGGGGCATATGACAAACTGAATGATACTTCTTACATGGTTTTTCTTATGCTGACTATTGTATTTTTATCCCATATTTTTCTTCTCCGTGGTTTTTTTTTCCTATTCTGTAGTTTACAGGCTATTCTTTTCTTTCCCTCCCAACCTTCTTCTTGCTATGAGTCTCCCCATTATTTGGGTAAGCTTTAAACACTGCTGTGGATGACTTTGCTGCTAGTATGGCAGCTTAAAACCCTGGGAGGCATTCATGCTCCTGCTCTCTGATGCAGTGAGCAAGGGCTTTGCTCTGAATTAAACTAGCCCCTTGTGGCTTTGTTTGAGCATCGCTCATTCTCTTCAGTGACTTTTCTGCTAGACGCAGATTTGCAGAATTTGATCCCAGATAATACCTTGCTGCTTTTATTAGCTACACTTGGTGAATACTAGTTCTAGGGCAAGTTAATTCCATCTGTACTTCACAGACTACAGAGAAGTAGCAGCATTACTCTGCTGTATCCTCATGTGTTTGATGGCAGTGCTACAACAAGACAGTCTTGCCAGTTCTGATTTTTCCACTGATTAATTACTTAGCTACTGATTCTTCAGTCCCTTAATTATAGTAATGCAAAACTAGTGCAAACTGTGGGGACCAGGTTCAGACACATTAGAAAGCACAAACCCCCATTAATTTGTTTAGACCTCTAGAAGTAGCTCCTATTTCTAGATTTGCTATGAAATCCTTGATCCCTGCTTCTACCTATAACAGTGATTTACTTTGATTTTGTGCTGCCCATAGTAAGTGCCAACAAATATGAATTCTGCTTTTGGTTCTGAAAAACACCTGCAACTAGTTTCTTTGCAAAATATTACAATAGATTGAGGTGAGTCCCTTTAGTAGAAGAGCAGAAAACTGTTTTTCTTCTCAACTGTGACAATACCTTCCACAGGATGTGGTGTGGAGGCCTGGAAAACTGTGCATGTTGTAAGAGAGCTGAAGTAGTTCCCTGTTGTTTGGACTCACACAAATACCGAGTGATCAGTCTATGGCACCATAAATCTTCCCCTCCTCAACAGGGAATATGATGACAATTACAGTATCCTTCTAAGAGCCAAGTAGTTTAGAGATTACTTTTGTGAAATATTTTGAACCCAAAATACGATAAGGCAAAGGATGCTGCTATTTCTACATGGAATACTAGATTGTATTGATCACTTCTAGCTATCCAGTGGTTTTACTGCCTGAATGAGATGTGTTCTCGTACAAAACAGGACAAACTCAAACTGTTATTTTAATTAGTGATTAGCAAGTAAAGTATTTTGCTGAAGCAGAGTGTCAGATTGATGCATACAGGAATCAAACCTGTAAAAGTGCTATTGATTGCAGTTGTGATTGATACCAACTTTACTAGGATCATGATTCCTTCCTACACAGCTTTTGGAGTAGATCTTGTATGTGATCACTCTGGTGCACTACTCAGTAATGTTGCTCTTAAAAGTGGTTTGAAAAGAAGTAAATATGACAGGTTGTGGTGGCTAAGTAGAAAATCTAGGGCCTAACATTCAGGTTTTTTTTGGCCTAAACTTTTAGCCATGCTTTTAATTTTACTACAGTCTGCAGGTGATCAGCAGTTCTGAAAGGCTGTGAACCTTAAAGGTGCTATCACATCACACAGTGACACACTTCCTTTGCACTGTGATGTGATTCCCCTCCAGCCACAACTGATTTATACCCCAAGTTAAGAAACAAACACTTACTTTGCCCACAAGGTATCCAGTTCAGAACACACCACCAAATGTTAAACATAGTGGCATGGTGATACACATGAAGGAAGGTGATCTGGCTGCTTTTCTTTCTCAGTACAAAGAAGATAGTGTCCATGAATTCAATTACTTTGGAAAAATAATACCACCACAGCACCTTGGCTACCTGTACAAGCAAGAACAAAGGAGCAGGAAATCAATATCTGTCCATACAAGAGCTTAAGTATTACTGTATTTCTTCAGACCCTAGGCATGCAACTTCTCAGAAGGCATTAACATGCTATTGAAGGCGAAGCACAAGCTCTGGCTTCGATTTTATTTCCCTTTTCAGTGAAGCATTTTGAAAAAAACTGCACATCTTTTATGTGATTGTATAAATACATGATTATCAATATAATTTAAGAAATATAAACTTTGAGGTAGCATTTTCTAATTGTTTGGCTTTTTTTCTTTTTCAAACGTACAGTTTTGTGGGTTGTGGGTTTTTTGGTTTTGGGGGTTTTTTTGGTGTTTTGTTGTTTGTTCTTTTTTAAGGATGCTACCATTCATAATTTTTTGGCACTGAAAAGATTTTGCTGCCAGTTTCCTTTTAAAAATCTAAATTCAATACTCAATATAATGAAATTTATCTTCTTCTAGAGCAGAGACATTTTATCAGAGCTCAGGATATGTCCTAGGACAGTTAAAGATAGATAGAAAGGGGGAAAACACCTTGTTGATGGGAAAAGGTATTTAACTAACCTTTTCCTTGCCATAACACAGGCAAATTTTAAGGGTTGGGGGAAATTATATAAGTTAACCAATCTTTCTGCCCTTGAGCTCTAATGTCATCTGGAAAATAAACCTGATATGGGGAATGAAAGAAGGTTAATACATGGAATTGCTGTGATGCAGAAATAAGGGCTGAAACTAGAGACGAGTCAAGCCAGCAAAATGTCCCTGCAGGTTTGCAGAGTTTACAGCTGGGTTTAAATCAGTGTCCAAGTACAGCCCAACAAGACTTACCTTTTAGATCTTTTATCTTTGTTCAAAGTTTTTAAAGAATCTAATTCTCTGTTTTAATAGTCAGGCAACACTGTTGTGACTACAGGTCTTGATATGTGGCTTTTCAAAATATGTCCTATTGTGCTTTCCACTGCAAGGATGCATTTATATTGAACAAAATATTACACTGCTTGGGCTACCAGCTATTGAACAACCAGATTAAAATGCTCATGTCAAAGATGTTACTGATAGCATCCTTATAACCTCCTTGAATGCAGAGGTGTTGCATCAGGGACATGGAGGGAAGGATTGCTGCAGATGTTGAGGGCTGAGCTGCTGCTGTCTCTCACCCGGATGTCGGCCTCCCCTGCACTGTGGAGGTTCTGGCACTGCAAGTTGTAGCCGCCTTCCCATGTGGCAAGGATGAGCTGGAAAGAGAAAACAGAGGAATTATGTTCATGAACAGATGGAGCAGTTTTTACCCCTGCAGTTGTTCTGTGTTTATTGGAAAAAGCAGCATGGAAGTACAGTAGATACCCACTTCTTTTGTTAACTGATGCTCTTAAACCAGATAACTTGCTGATATTTTCTATTTTAAAATAGGGAAGACATCAGTTGTGTTGGAGATACACCATTTCAGTGTACACCTATTCCATTTCTTGAAGGCATCCATTAAAATCTCTCATTACTTAATGCAATGATCCTTGCTCCAAAGCTTATGCTTGAGCATTGTATCTCTGTCCTGAAGTGGTGTCGATAGAGTTTAACACAACTACTTGTCCAAAATGCTACTTGTGAAAAATTCCCTCAGGCCAAGCAAGCAGACAGAAGGCAAATCCACAGTAGTGCAAGGGGAGAAACATTTCTTAATGCCATACACGTCTCTATCCTACACTGTTAAATGCTGGAGGAAGTAATGAAGAGTGGACATAGTGCTGAATGGAGACAGGAATAGGTACACAAGCAGTTTCTTAGATTCTGCATACGTCGTATTGGTAAGCAGACAGAGAAATGAAATATCAGCATACCACACTGGCATGGAGCAGAAGGTTTGTAGAAAACCATATGATGGGTTTTGATGTAGAATATTTTTTGTAGTAATGACCACCTAAAGGACTCAGCATTCTTTTTGGAAAAGGGAGCATCATCTCTGTCTATAAATGCAGTGAAGAATCCATTGATTTTGAAAAGGTCTTGTTTATTCTTGAATGTGTGCAAATTGGGGTTTGGGGCCAAGCTGAGCAATTCATGTTCTGGGGACTGTCTCACTCTCTACAGGTGATGCAGTGAGCAGTGATGGGAGAAATACATGGAAGTGTTGTGCTGTAAGCAGAATTGCAAGATGCTGAGAGAAGTGGATTGCTTTCAACTCCGGCACTACACTCACGGGGATGATTTGTGTTAGCACAGAAGGGATGATTTTTCCCTTCAGTTCACACTGAAAAGTATTGAATGTGTGATAACCTATACAAAAGTGAAGTAGAAATATTCTCAGTGATCAAACTGAATTAATTAATAGATTAAATTCATTAAAAATATTATTGATAATATTATCTGGAGAATTAGAAAATAGCCTAGAATGCTTATTATAAATTCATGTTAAAATGCAATAAAACCTGGAGAACCAGGGTCTTTTACTATTTTTCTTCTGAATTGCAATTCTGTGATTGTCCCTGTAACTTTGGTCATGTGTGTGGCCAAAATAACCCATAGAGATTGCAGAAAGAGATTAAAGTAAGTGTTTTATAGATAACTGCTATATAACAATTGAAACAAGAATATTTATTTTTGGAACAGCCTATGTTTCAATGAATTCACCTGCAGCGTGTGCCAGACTTCACCAAACCAAACAGGATGGGACCAGAATCTAAAAACAGGGGAAATAACAAAAAAACAACCAGAGTTCCTCATACAAATGCTCAGTGCAGATGAAACCACAACTTGTCTTGCCAGGTTAGCCTCTGCTTGGGTGTTGTGCCTACAATCACATAGGGCTGGAACACATGGGCTCCTCTCCCTTCCCTGCTGTGGCAGTCAGGTGGGAAGTGGGGCATGGGCTGCACCTCTCCAACAACCTGCAGAGGTCCTGAAGAGAAAGGAGTTAAAGCTTTGAGAAAAACAAATTATGCCTGTTCATTTCCATATTATTTTTCAAAAAGCTGCTGAGTGGAAAAGGGGTCATTTCTGTTCTCTGAGTAGGAGGCAGAGGACATGCCAGTTTCCCATCTGTCCCTCCTGTGGCATGTCCTTGGTTCCCAGATCTGTGCCTATGCTGCAGCTGCCACTAGACAGTTGCTTCATGAGGGATGAAGAGACATTAATGCACGATTGCTTTTCTGGGCAGCTCCTCTTGGTGCCTTCTTTGTGCAGTCATCTGCCTTGGGTTTTACCTCTAAGTAAGACATGACTGATCTCCAAGCTGAGTCTTTTGGAATAGGCAAGCAAAGCCTTATTGACAGGCTGTAGTTGCAGATTTGTTCTCACTTCTGTCTTGTTACTTGAGAAATGCTGAAGAAAATGGAATTGTCATCTTGTTCTTGGCTGGGAACAATATGGTCTAACAGTGCTGGAGTGTCAGGAGCACATCTGGAGGCAGCATGCAGGATACCAGCAGACTGCAGTGGTGACATCTGGAAGCTTTGTAAGGCACGGCCTCAAACATGGATATTAACAGCTCTGCTAGAAAACTGCCGTGCAAGATCTACTAATAGGAGCAGGAAGTAAATGATATTTCCTCTTGCTGTTTTATTTTTTTCAGTCAGCTATAATGAAATCCACAGTGGCTGTGTAGGTGGAAAGCAGTGATAGCAGAACCATCTCTACCCCTTGTGATTGCAGGGAATTGAAATTATGACCCACAGACCCCCAAAACTCTAACAACAAATAAAGAAGAGGGAACTGCTTTTCCATTCTTGTGCATAGAGTAGAGAGGACCCTTTCTCCTGATTTTACTGAGAAACTATGAGATTTCATTGCAAATATGCACTATTGCATTTTGTTGTATTTGTTGAGTTACTTTTTGTAACTTAGGTCTGTGATATGATGTGCCTATAGTATTTTTTATCTAAAGCTCTCAAATAATTTTACCTTATGAGGCATGCAATTTTGTAACATTTTTTTCCAAGACTTATGAAAACAATTTCACCTATTGCATTCTATATCTGTAAATTCATACTTTTCCTATGCTTAAAATGGTCAAATTGTTCATATCTCTTTTAATCTCATTAATCTACTTTTTTCAGGTTCTAATTGCAAAACCACTTTACTCTCTCAGCTTATTTTTCCCTTCCTTTTAAAATGAACTCATTTCTTTGCTTTGCTGAAGAAACCTGGCCTCATAAAATTTTCTGCTGCAGTATGTGAATGTTGGTTCACAGAAATTTGCCGGGAAAATTTGCTGTTTTAGATATTTTGTTTAGTCTGTTTTACGACTGTTCTGATTTGTTTAAAATTACAATAAATTGATTTTTCAAAATTCTTTTATGTGTGTTGTTTTCTTTTATGTTAAAGGTTAGGAACTTTCCTGATAGTGCTAAAGGTTTTGGGCTTTTTTTTCAAGTATTCCATTCATAGGTCCCCTGTTGGAAAATGAGATGAAAAAACCCTTAGAGGTTGAGAAAGAAAATCAATATTTCTTTTCAACATCACAGTTTTCTAACTTGGTAATTGAGAAATCTGCAACTCCTTACAAATGGTCAGCATGCAAATGGAGAACAGACTTTAGGGTGAGAATACTGCTCTCTCTGACTTCAGAGCTTTATTTGATTTCTTTTGTTCATTCTTTCATCATTCTGTATAATGTCAGATTTTGCAGATCACTCTGCATATTTCCCAGTCATTTTACTTGGCAGAAGAGTTTCCTCTGGTTTGTGTCTGCATTTCAAGAGCCAGCAGCTTAGAGTGAAGATCTTTTTCTGACTTTTTTTAACCTCAGTCTTTCATATCAGCTTTGCTGTAGCTCAGCATTTCTATTCTCTGTTGCATGCACCTTACATACTACTGTGTGTCCTTTAGGAAAAAGAGAAGAAATCACTTTGAGTTTTTACTCTTCTGCTTCGCATGATAATTTTCAAGATTTTTGGCTAATTTCCTAATTAAATTAAAACAATAATAAGTAGTGGGGAAACTTGGAAGGCAAAGAGTACTTTTTATGGAATCCTGGTGATCCTAGGCCATGACTTTCATGTTGGCTCTCAGTGATGTGGAAGGTAAGCAGCTTACCCAGTGGTGCTAAATAAGCCAGCTGCATATCTGGAACAGAAGCTGGTACCTTCACATGAGATATTTTGTTATCAGGTCTCTTTTCCTCTGATACCAAGGTCATATGTTACTTGTACTGTTTCAGTAATGTTCCCTTTCACACACTGAGCACTCTTACAGTTCTGTAGAGCTGGTATTATTAATCACACAGAGATGGTGCAAGTGCAGTATGTATTAAAGACATGAGAAATCCCCTCTCCCTTTCAAGACACAAATTCTCTCCCTCTAGCAAATAATTCTTTGAATTCTTTGCATTCTTGGCAGCCTATCCTGAAAATAATATTAAAACATGTATTGTTTGAAGCTATTTGGAAAATCAGATCACGTAAAGAGGAAAGCGCTGCCTTGTGAAAAATTTCTGCTAAGTAACAGTATCCTGTTAATTAGTAGAGTTTTCATATTTTTGTAGTTTGCTGTTGCCCTAATGTTGTTCTTAATAGATTCCAGTTTTTACACCAATAAATGACTTCTATTTGTCTACTCAAGTATAACCAGCATGAAGATTCATGAGAGTTGTTTTGCTGCAACAGTCCAACTCATGCCTTATTTTTCTAAGTGAGGAATCACATTGTTCAGGAATGAAAGATGGTTCCTCTGTCAGAAATTTCAGGGAAGTGGGCAGCAGGTACCAGAAGACAATATAATCCTCTCATTTTGCTGAGTAGCAGACTAACCACCAAGACCCTGACCCAGGGGCCTGTGCCCTGCTCATTTCAAGCTTTCAACTTTAAAAATCTCACAGCTGTAACTTGTTCTTGCATCTGTCCTCTAGTGATAGGCTAGAAAGGAAAGCAACGTGGCTTTCTGAATGGATATTCCCATTTCTACTGACTGCTGTTTCTCTGTGCTATTTGAGTCTCTGCATGGTTGGACCTTCTCAGAGAGAAAATGTCTAGAAGCAATAAGGTATTTCCCCTTGTCCCGGGGCCAGAGAAAGACAGAGGATGAGGCATCGGCATCTTGTTACATCTGGCTGGTGGTCACCAGCACAGTTCCTCAGGGCTCAATTCTAGGGGCCAGTGTGGTTCAACATATATATCAATGATCTGGAGGCAAGAGTTGAATGCCCCATTATCAGGTTTGCTGATGATATGGAATTGGGAGATGCTGTCAACTCTCTTGAGAGACAAGAGGCCTTGCAGAGGTATCTAGATAGATTTGAACATTG